GAAATCAAAAATTATTCTATAACACAATAATAGCATTTGAAAGGTCAAGCTCCTATAGAAATCCAATTAAAGTAATCCAATTATTATGTTATTTTAAAAGATCAAGAACCTTATTAATAAAATTAGTTAGCGTAAACTTAGTTAAATTCTTAATAATCTGAAAATTTAAACCTAAATTTATTCATCTGACTTGATAAAGCTGTAATGCCTTAAGTAAAGACTGTAATTTACTGCTGCTAACTGCGGCTACTGTTTCGCTTCGTAGACCTCCAACGAGCGCCGCTTGACAAGATCCCAGGCAGCAAACAAACCCAAAGGAGCTGAAGCTCGGCCAACAATTGAACTGCAATAAAACAATTTACCCAAAATAGCGTTCGGCCCAAGAGCAATCTGCTGGTTAACCTGGCATCAGACTGTCGTTGCACTGAGAAAAAGTTATGATAATGTAATGAACTGGCTAAGGAAAGTATGACAAGATTATTTTCATAAAATCAATGCAGTAAGGAGAAGCTACTAGCCATTTTTATCTAAACCATTTCACTAAACCACTTAAATAACCATTTCTTACTAACTTAACTTAACTTCACTTTACTTTCCCTTAAACTTTTTAGAGATTAAAAATATTAAAATAATGAATAATTCAATTAATGACCAATATTTTTTTCTAGTGTATGACTGCTGCTGTTACTGGACTCTGGGCAACATTTATCATTGAAATGTGGCGTGCGGTTTCTACGCAGTCGCAGCAGCAGCAGCCGAGGATGCTTTGCGGCACCAAAACGAGCTCCCGAAACTCTCTTTTGACTTTGGCGGTTGCTTTGCATATATGCAGTGTGTGGCAGGGCTAAGAAGGGGCTTAAAGGGGGTGGGCGTGGCAGTTGGCCGATAAACTAGCCTCGAAACCCTACCAGTCGTCAGTCGCGTAAGTCAGGCAGTCCGATGGCTATGGGCGCAGGAAAATCAATTCATTGCCCTGAACAGATTTCCCTTTTATCTCCGGCAACCTCTAGACTGGTCGGTCGCCTGATTTGCATATGTTTTGGTACTTTGGTAGTTTGCTACTTTGGTAGCTACTTGCGACAAAGGCCCTCATAATTGCTTGCTTTAGCGACCCATTCAAGGCGAAAAGTCGGCGCCATCCTCATCTTGCTAACTTAGCTCTCAGGTTCCTTCTTCGTGGTGTAAATTGTCGTCCGCGAATGCTACGTGTGGTGCTGGGAGTTACACTAGGAAAAAAGGTATAAGGATTAAGGAGAAAACGTCTACATAATAATTTGTCATAGTAAGTTTAAGTTTCTATGGTTTTTAATCTTCTGTAGCATGGTTATCTTTCGAAATTTGTTAAAAAACTTTTATACTCTTCTTTAAAATGTCAAAAACTGAATAATCGTTAGAATAAGAATCTAAATTGAGAATTTTATTCTCTGTGCAAATGTTTTTCTGTTTTTGCTGCAAGGGTAGTGGGTGTCTTGGAGGTTTCTGTCGCGTAAATTGCCAAGCAATTCATAAATGTCAACGCGTCTCATATGAACGATGGTAGCAGACTTAAGGAAAGGAAGGAGACTTGAGGAAATGTTGGGGGAGATTTATGAGTTTGTTGGGCTACTCGAATCGGTTAAGCAACAATTAGAAAAGGTTTAAGTACTAAGCTCTAATAATCTGTTTTAAAACTTAAAAACTGCAATTAATATCTGCATAACTGCAAAAATTTCAAAGATTCCTAAGGATGTTTGTCTTTCGTTCTGATACCTTAAATTGGGCAAACTAAATTGAATTTTTCCAGTCATTTCATTTAAATAGAAGACAATGGAATATCATATAATTTATACCGTTCTAAGCCTTAAATAAAACAGTATAAGCCATCCAAAATCCTCTCGCCTTTGCTTACTCCCTTGAACTTTGTTTACTCCTTTCGACTCCTGTTGATTTCCAACTGTCCTCGTCTCCTCCTGTCCGATCAAAATATTTGCATAAGCAGAGAGGCCTGAATTACAGTTTAAGCCAAAAACCTCAACGGCAGAGAAAAAACCAAAAAAAAAAACTGAGAGCTGAGCAGCGTCATGTGCTCTGTTCAGATACAGATACACCGAAACCCAAGTCTTAAGACCCACCAAAGACGACGACGACAGCAGGCACGCGCCCCGATCTCGAATCCGAAAACCCGAAAGGCAACTCAGGAACTCAGGTACAAAGGAGGCAAAAAAAAAAGAGCAAAACAGTCAGCAAGCAAAAAAAAAAGGACCCAGAAATGTGCAACTGTTGAAGGATCGGGTGAATAACCCGCAGAGAGATCCCTTAGAGAATCTCGATCTAGGTGGAAGCTTAGTTTATAATTTTCGACAGGAAAAAGCTGCTGTGCTGGAATATGAAAGATCTTATCGTATCTAATATCTGTGCGCGGGACTCGATCAAATTACAGTTCCGGTCAAGATTGAGCATTTGGTTCCGCTTTTTGTTTCGGGGATGAAGACAATGCAGCAGGGGCGACCGTTAACCTTAAGTTAATGATTTGGCCGCTGCCGATGCCGCTGCCTTAGCCTTTGGTTGCTGCCTGCTCTTCAAGTGCAGCATATGGCATTTTCCTCTCCTCTGGCTGTGGCTTCAGCACAACTGACGCAGGATACGCAGGATACTTGCAGGGATCACAATGCCGGCCTACCTACCTACGATTGGAGTTTTTCGGGTTTTTGGGCTCACTTCCTATGTTCCTATCCTCCACATGGACCCGCCAATCTCCCCATCTCTCCCTTTCGAGTATGTAAAAAGATCAATCAAATATTGGGTTCCCTTCGCTTGGAAGGACTCTCCCTAGATGGAATTCTACTCGTATCTAGATGCCCACTTGACTCTGGCATTTTTTAAGGTATTTATACGGTGTAATAATAGGGAATGGGGCTGCCAGGGTGTCAGTGGGGTATGATGGTTTCAGGACTCGTATAAGGAAAGTCGAAAGATAGTACAATATTGATTTCCAATAACTTTAGCTTTATAACGTTTTAAGTTTTAAGATTATTTAGGATTACTTTTTAGGTTTATTATTAATATAAGATTTCTTATTTTGGATATGCGGGAAAAGTAAAATTTTAAAAGCTATTAAAAAGCATATTTAAACAAAAAAAATCAATAATAGTTAGAATATTTGAGTATATCAAGTTTTCCAGGTCACCTCCTAGTCTTATACCCTTACTACCAAAAACTCCTTTTTGTATTTTTCCTCTTGCTTAGCTGGCATTTTTTCCCTACTGCCACTGCTGGTGCTGTGCACCTGCTTCTTAGACACAGGACGCGCGTCTTTTGACCGCAATCGTTGCCAAGGCCCGCCTGCAAAAGCAAAACCGAATAGCACTCTTACAGGCCAGGTCGTCGCATAACTGTTAAGCTTGGCGCTCTTACAACTCTGGGTATCGCACTTAAAGTTTCTTTTTTTGTTCTCTTCGGGGACGGGACGAATGATCCTGCAGAGCGTGTGCCAGAAACGAAACCGCAGCCCGCTGCTTTACACAAATCCCAAAAAGCCAAAACGAATCCGAGCTCGGCTCACTTCGTCCTGGTCCCCAAAAACCACTTTCGTTTATTTTAATTTGGCTTGCGGTCAAGGGGATTGAGGGTGCTTTGGTGGATCGAGGGAATTGGGGAATTGGCAGCCAGCCTGCTGCAATCTGACAAGAGCCTGCTGCATTTAATAACTGTTTTCGTTTTTGCCGCTGTTTTCTTATACTCTACAAAGTAGAGTTGCTACGCTAAACAAAGCATTTTAAAGAAGAAGATTTTGTTAATCTCATCTATAACTTAAAATTTTGTTAAAAGTGCATCTTTGATACAAAAATTTAAAACATAATTACTGTTACCAAAATCGACCTGGGTTTGGGGAAGACACAAAAGGTGTTTCATTCTAAAACTCTTTCAATGTTAGATCTGCAAAGGCTTGATCAGTAGGATTAGTATTTATAAAACTCTTTAGACATGGAAAAAGTAAAATAATTTGTTTATAATAAAATGATTTTAAAGTGTATTTAATGATTCGAACTTTAACCATGATGTGTTTTTTTATTATTTTTTAACTCGTCTTCCCATGCCCGTAAAACTGCACCCCGAGTCATCACGACCTGGACTTGGTTTAGGACTCTATAGCGATCCCGTTTTGCGGTGCACGTGCCACATTTTGCAGCTTGCCACGAGATGTTCACCGGCCGATCGAGCTCTTATCTTGCAAAACAACGCGCCTCTGACTTAATTAATTTTTATTTATGTTAACGAGGCTTTTGGCTTTTATTTAAATCAAAGTTTAGGGTTAATCCCTTACTGAACTAAAGATCGTTTGGGCACTTTGAACCATTTGCTGGGCAAACTGGAAGGAATTGATTTCCACATTTAAAAAGGTGCCGAGTTGTAAATAAGAACTTATTATAAAGGGGCTTAAATTACCTTTTCTTACGCCAAAAAGGACTTAAAGGACTGTTACCCTTCCAAATGACTGATTCTTCCCGGAACTGGAACTATAACAAAAAACTAAGCATCAGTTTAAGAAACGAATTTAATTGAATATACTCATTGGAAATTTAAAATTTAAACTTACTACTACTTACATCTATTATCTTTTTTTATGCAATATAAATAAAGATTTATTGATGTATCTTAGTTTTTAATAGGAAAAAACATTTTTAATTTTAAAATTAATTGTTCAAACTATTAATTTATTCCTAAAACCTTTCTTTGAGTAGAGAACCAATTCTACATGTATTTTACAAATAAATGTATCCTTACATTGGCAAAGTCCACTAATAGATGTCGCTGGGTGTTTCTTTGATAGGTGGGAGTAAAAAAAGATTTTTATATCGAAATCATCTTTTTAAGATCCTTTAAGATCCCGTAAAAGTTATCTCTTATTTCAGTTCAAAATGAAAAGTTACGATTATTATCAAGCCCAAACACCGCAGATAACAGCTGGGATTTATAGATTTCGGTTTCTAAGATTTTCTTTCTCTTCTTCAGAGCCAATGTATATTTTCGATCAAAATCTTTATTTTCCAGTACAGGGAATCTTATCACAGACTAATTTTAATCATCCCCACTAATTCTATTCCACATAAGGCTGAATATCATGCTGTTGACGAGCGGCCTCAGTTTCTGCACCCACGGCGCATGCTAGCAATGAATTTACCGTCTGCTCCTCTCCGGCCTTGTAGACGTATCCATTGGCTTTGTCGATGTGGTTTCGCAGACGCAACATGCTATCTGTGCTGAAGGCGTCCAGCAGTTGAAACGAAACGAGAGCGTAGTCCTCCACCATGGAGCAGATGGCAGCATTTAGTTTGCGGTGTTTTCGAAAGACGGGATCATCGTCCAGTTTGTCCAGCAAATACTTAAGGTCCAGGACGTCTGTGTAGTAGTCTACATTGAAATGGAGTTTGGACTCATGTTTCCTTAGCAGATCGGCTTTGGAAAGGACATTTACTTGAGGTAGACTCATTCGTAGCATAGAATTTAATGCCATTAGCAAGGTGGCAATGAATTTTGAAGGCTCGGAGCAGTAATGCGAGTCTATGAGGTTCACGGTAACCAGGCTATAACGCTCTCGTTCTAAACGTTCGAAAACACGTGCCATTGCAGAATGATGAGTATAGAGCTCAATTTGCCCTGGACAATCAAAAAGGAAGTAGTTGTGAGTGGCTCCCAGTTTTCGCAGTGCCGGCAGAAGCCAATCTTCCAAGTGGTCGGCCAGATACTCGGCGCAGTGCATCAGGGCTCCATTGGGACCTAGCTTTAAGTGTTCCATGCAATCCTCAACCGTGATTAATTCCATCACACTGAGAACCGGTTCATAGGACATGTTCTCATTCGCCGGGTCCAGATTCACCACGCCGACTTGACGTCCAAGTTCACGGTAGAACTTAAAGGCCTCAGCGCAATAGGTGGTTTTCCCGGAACCAGGGGGTCCAATGATTAGCTGTCCATAGCGGGGATTTTCCACCGTCGTCTGTGTCGGAAATCTCTGCAACATATTTGTGGCGATTCAAAGATCACGAAAACGTAAACAAAACAAGTAACAAAAATAGTGTGGTCAGACTTGCTACAGCTGAAAATATACAATCCACAATTAAATACAAAATTAGTTTTCTACATACACTGTTACAAAATTATAGTAGTATTAATTATATATAATTGCATCTTTCTCAATATTAAAATTGGATTTCTTTTCCTGGTAAGCAAAAACGTTTCTGTCAATGACAATTTATCGCAGGATGCTCAAGTAAAATATACATAATTCATAAATATGAAATGGCTATGAATTTATATATTTTTACAGCTAAAAGTATTAAAGTATTATTGCGTGGGCGGATATAAAAATACCGATCAGCGTAGGAGTGCACTTTGTAGGAATTGGGCCGGCTCGCGATCTGGTCACACAGCACACAGTTCGTCGGCGAGAATTCAGTTTGGTGTTTTCATTTATCCGCGGAAATTCGCATTCATTAGTAAACTCCTAATAAGCACAGAGGAATCACACCACCGCAATGGCTCAACCCCAACCACCGGCGTACGAAAACAGTGAGTTGGCATCCCACAATGATAAACCACATTCATAAAACCGATCCAAATCGGTATTTGAGAGAGTGAAGGGGGATGAGTCAACAGGCGAAAACGGTAAAAGCAGAAAGCAAACGCCGGAAGCGCCGTGATTATGCCCATAAATGGGCATAGCTGCATAATGAAAGACTTTTAAAGTTAGGAGGCGGGGTGAGACATTTAGAGCCACCCCAGGCGTAACCCCAAATAAAGTAGCCGCACCCTGACTCTCACCCACTCTCCACTCCGATTCTGCCGGCGTTATCTTTAGGCGTTTTCAGTTCTAATCGTTTATTATCGCCATTAATTGCAGAAAACATCTACGCAACTCTGCCTCGCACCCAACGCGGCCAACCCATTGTCTTAGGATCCGATCCCAAGGGCAAGAACTTCCTGTACACCAATGGAAACTCTGTGATCATCCGTAACATCGAGGTAAGCTGATACGGATATGCTGCTGCAGCCTGCTGCTCCGCTCCTGCCATAAATCCATGGCATCTTTTTGTCCAAATGGTGTTTTATTTTTGGATAGGCTGCAGTTTTCTGTTGCCAGTTTGTGTGTGCTATCTGGCTTTCTGGCAGCTGTTCTATATTTATTTTTATATACGGCGCAAAACGCAGATTCCCATTCCACAGGCCAGCCGGCAAAATCAGCCATACACACCATACAAACTGACACACAGAGAAATTTCTTGTTTGCCGCCCACGCATCATCATTATGATGTTTTGATCTGGTAAAAGTGATTCGACAAAGCGGCTAAGTTTGAGTATCTTTCACCCGTAGAATCCGTATAAATTCAAAAAAAATTTCCTTTGTTTTCCCGCTAACAAATTTGTTTTTCTTGTGAAAGAGTGTATTTTCTTTACTTTTTATAACAATTACCTTTACTTAGTTATTTTCTTCTGATAAAAGTCGAATATATTAATTTTGTATTCCTTGCTACCTTCTGAAAAATAAAGTAAAGTGATAAGATATTCCTATGTTTGTCATCCAAAAGAAATCACCATTAAATTTTCTTATTCCGGTAAAAGTGTTTCTAAAAAATAGATTTGTTTTTTCCTTTTCTTCCCCACAACAGAATCCAGCCATCGCCGATGTCTACACGGAGCACTCGTGTGCAGTGAACGTTGCCAAGTACTCACCCAGCGGCTTCTATATTGCATCTGGCGGTAAGTCTGGCCCAGCAATTTCACACTTCGAGCACCCGGCTTGGGGCAACAGAGCATAAAGAATCGTGACCACCATGAGTCACGCCACGGCCAATGATTAGCATTTCCCTATTTGGAGCTTTGTCTTTATCTTATCTGCGGTTTCGATTCGAGCAAAGTTATTTATTTGCCTTTCCCCTTCTTTCACCAGACGCATCGGGCAAGATTCGCATTTGGGACACGGTCAATAAGGAGCACCTGCTTAAGAATGAGTTCCAGCCCATCGCAGGACCTATCAAGGATATTAGCTGGTCCCCGGACAACCAGCGCATCGTGGCAGTAGGCGAGGGACGTGAGCGTTTCGGTCATGTCTTTATGTCCGAAACTGGTACCTCAGTGGGCGAGATCAGTGGCCAGTCCAAGTCTATTAACTCGGCAGACTTCCGGCCAGCCAGGCCATTCCGCATTGTGACGGGTGAGTTCGCGTAATAGCCACATAATGCGGTTAACTTATTCCACAACTCTATTTTTACAGGCAGTGAAGACAATACCATTGCTGTGTTCGAGGGACCACCGTTCAAGTTTAAGATGACCAAGCAGGATCACTCCCGATTCGTCCAGGCTGTGCGTTATTCTCCCGATGGCAAGTTCTTTGCCTCTGCTGGCTTTGATGGCAAAGTCTTCCTGTACGATGGCACTAGCTCTGAACTGGTTGGTGAGTTTGGATCGCCTGCCCACAAGGGCGGTGTTTACGCTTTGGCCTGGAAACCAGATGGCACTCAACTGCTGACTTGCTCCGGCGATAAGACCTGCCGCCTTTGGACAGTTGAAACCCGCGAGCTGGTTAGCGAGTTCATTATGGGCACAACAGTGGATGACCAGCAGGTGTCCTGCCTGTGGCAAGGAGAGAACCTGATCACCGTCTCGCTTTCGGGCGTGATCACCTACCTCAATGTGGCGGATCCCTCGAAGCCTCTGCGTGTGGTTAAGGGCCACAACAAGCCAATTACTGTGCTGGGATTGAGCGACGATCGCAGCACCATTTACACGGGCAGCCACGACGGCGTTGTGACCAACTGGAATTCGGGCAGCGGCACCAATGACCGCATCACTGGTACCGGTCATGGTAACCAAATCAATGGCATTGCCGCTTGGGGCGACTTCGTCTATACCTGCGGCATCGATGACAGCCTGCGCCAATTCAGCGTAGAGGGCAACTCCTACACCGACTATGTGGTCAAGCTTAACTGCCAGCCTCGCGGCTTGGCCATCCTGCGCAACGAGAACATCATTGCGCTGGCCTGCATCAAGGAATTGACCCTTGTGCAGGATCAGAAGAAGATCTTCTCGCTGCCCATCAAGTACGAGGCCAGCTCTATTGCCGTAAATGCGGATACTTCCGATGTTGCTGTCGGCGGTGATGACCAAAAACTGCACATCTACAGCCTCAAGGGAGGAGTCCTGGAGCCCAAAACAGAACTGGATCACTTAGGCGCCGTTACGGATGTGTCCTACTCTCCGGACTTGAAGTATCTGGTGGCCTGCGATGCCCATCGCAAGGTGGTGCTCTACTCGGTAGAGGAGTACAAGGTAACAAACATGGATTTTTAAATTATTTCTTTTATTAATTAAATGTTTTTATAGCCTGCACACAACAAAGAGTGGGGCTTCCACAGTGCTCGAGTCAACACGGTGGCCTGGTCGCCAAACTCGCTGTTGGTGGCTAGTGGATCCTTGGACACCACAATCATTATCTGGTCCGTGGCCAACCCGGCCAAACACACCATTATCAAGAGTGAGTTTTTAATAGAGAAAATTTCAGATTATATTTCTAACTCTTCGTTTGTTAAACATTCCAGATGCCCATCCGCAGTCGCAAATCACCCGGTTAGTCTGGCTGGACAACAACACTGTGATCTCCACCGGACAGGACTGCAACACCAAGGTGTGGCACGTGGAAAGCATCTAAAATGGCCCAGCCGTGAAGCATATTTTTATACTTATCCAGGGAGAGCAGCCAGCAGCCCCCTGGCTTCATTTCATTTAAGTGCAAGAGTTTACATTTAGCTATTTATGTCTCCAACCCCGCCCCGCGCACCTCATGTCATGTCTTTAATTTTAAGCCCAAAGTGTTTGCTAATCATCATATCATGGATATCCTACTATTTTTCTCCGCTATCATTTGCACCTGTGTTTTTCGAAGTCTTTTTTATACTACTGGAACTACGAACTACGAAAGGAAACACAAAGATATGTAAAGTACGCCAGCGTACATAAATTATTGTATTATGAAATGAAATATACTAGTTTTTGCATAGATCGCTGTCATTTTTTTGTCCTTTGGCTGTTGATTTGGGAAAATCAGCTAAACACGCACCATATATTTTGACTTCTTAAACATTTATTCCTTTTTAAAATTGTGTTTTTTGGTTTTGGTAGGTCTTCACCCTGTCTTTTTGTGTGCAAGTGTGTGTGCGTGTGTGTTCAGGTGTGTATAATTACAATATTTATAAAAACTTGGCTTAGTTTACTAGAATGTGGTGTGGACGTGTGCTTGTGAGAAGAGAGCGTGAAAGCGAAAGGTAAAAGTGTTTTGTAACTTGCAGTTTGAGAGCCTCGGAGGTTGCTACAGTTTGAGAAATCATAAACGTAAATTGTGCTAAATTAAGTACATAAATTAAGATAAGATAAGAAAGGCGCTCGCATGTGTTTGTGTGCAGAAGACGAAAAACGAATTGCGCTAATTATCACAGCCGGGTCTAAGACGTTGGTTTCGGTGGGGCTAAAAGATGTGCATATGGCACTAGTGTTGGGCTTTTCCAGAGTGGGTGATGGTTTTCCTTCCTCTGAATTAATTTCCGATCAAATTTAAAGCAGAATTTTATGTTAGTTAACCAGAAATATTTAGTGACAGTTTTGTCAGTTTAATCTGCATTTGATCGGTATCAAAATCGAGATAGGGGGAGCTAGTCACTCACTCATGAGCCACCCAATCACTATGCAATATGCGTGCATGTGTACGAGTATGTGTGTGGGTGGGCATGTTCCTTGTGCTTGTGTGCGTGTCAGTGTGGTGAGTTGAACAAATCGAAAATATTAAAAAATATTATTCTCAGGTGGTTGCCGCTGAAGTCTCCACACCTGTCACCTCTCCATTGGTGGCCGCCGGTGGCTCACGTTCACTCTTAATGCCCAGCGGCGGCGCCTCATGGGCCAAGTCCAACGATGGCTGACCAGAAGCTGGAGAGGATTCAGCCACGGCCACGGCAGCTGCTGCGGCCGCCATCTGAAATTGATTGGGCAGGAAGAGGTATGGATTTCTTGCTTCCTGGCCCGAACATCCCAGAGCGGTCGCCGGTGATGGACCTATCTCACCGCTGGTTACTGTGTGACTGGCTGCCATGGGCATCGGTGTAGGTGTGGCCACTGATGCAGCAGTGGTTGCCGTCAGCTTGGATACCCTCTTTCGACGAGCCTCGTTCTCACAGGGTGATGGCGCCCCAGGATGTCGGTAGCTAACATGCTTGCGCAGGGCATCCTTGCTTCGGGACACATGGGAGCAAACGTTGCAAGCGTACCTAGAAAGATCGAATCAGGATTAGATCCAACTATTTCTTTCCCAAAGATATAGACGACTTACCGCACATTCTGATGGGTTTCGAGGTGGACACGCAGGTTGTACTGGTTGCTCAGCTGCTTGTGGCATATAAAGCAGGTGGCATAGAGTTTTGAGTTGGACGGCGGCTTGATGGGTGCGGCGGCCAGTGATTTGTCGCGGTCGGCGCTTAGTGAGAGCAGATTGGGCTCCGACTTGGCGCTGACCAGCGCCATACCACCGGCAGCCGCTGCAGCTGCTGCTGCCGCTTCCCGCTGATACTGCTCGATGTGGAGCTGCAGTTTGGCATGATCCTCGGCCGAGATGTACGGTGTCGGCCCCTGCGGTGGATGGTGATGCATTTGGGCCGCCTGTTGTGCCGAAGTGGGTGTGGCTGCAGCACTATACAGCGGCGGCTTGCTGTTATACAATTGACTTTGACCGAGGGTGCTGGGGTAACTGGCCGAGGAGCACTTGACCACCGGTAGCTGTGGTGAAAAGTGTGCCATGGCCGGCGGAGCAAGGGTAACGGGGGATGTGGCTACTATAGGATTTGGTATGGAGCTTTCCTGCGGCGACTTGCTACTGCTGCTGTTGACAGCAGATGATGATGCTATTTTAGGATTCTTGACCAGACTCTTCTCCAGACGCCGCAACTCCTTGGGCGGACTTTCACCCTTCAGCCGCTTGGAGCCAAAGCAGTCCGTTTCCAGGTGATCGTCCTGCATTCCGCTTTGGTAAAGCTGACATTGCTGCTGATATTTGGCCAGCAGTTCCGAGGTCTTGTTAAGCGCCGTCTGCGAAAAGTTTAGAGGTTGCGGCAGCAGACTTGGATAGAACTGCAGCGACTTAAAGAGATTCTCCAATGGCGTCGTACCCATTCCGGTGGATCCCACCGATCCCAGCTTGTTTGCCAACAGTGGTGTGCTAAGCGCCGGAGTGGGTAGTTGAGGCAAACTTGGTGTGGGAGTGTGGGAAGGCGTGAGAATGGGAGTTGGCGTGGGCGAGGGCGTGCTGGGGCGCTCAAACTCAGAGGACTTCTCGTTCGCCGTATCCATGTAAGAGGCGCCACCACTCCTCGCTGTCTTTGGTAGCTGTGGAGATTAGAAATTTTAGAAAATAATTTCATGAAGATGAATGTGTTAGTGCCAGAGATAATGCCTAAGTTCTAAATCTTTAAGACTCACATTGTTGTTTTGGACATCGGCCAGTCCCTTGATGCCCAGAGTCTCGGCCAGATTAAGCAGCATGGGAATCTGTTCCTCATAGACATTCACCTCGCCGGAGTACATAAAGGTGAGCAGTGAGACGATGGCCCCAAAACTGGCACCTGGTATGATAATAACAGGGTGGTTACTAGCCTCCAGAGCCCGGAAGATGTCCATAAAGAAACTACTGCAGGCACTGAGAACCACACGGTGAGCCCTTAGCTGGCGGCCCTCGGCCGAGATGGTAACATCCGTCAAATGGGATTGGTCCAGCAGAATCGGGAGAGTGCTCAGTAAACTGGTCTGGAAGAGATCAGTGGGGTTGGGAAAGTGAGAAGAAGTGCTTGTAAGTGGGTCATACGATCATAAAAATACAATTTTCCTGGGCACAGAGCAGCTCTGGGGAGGGAAGCTAAGGGGCCTGCGGCTGCAGCTGCTTTCCAACTTTTCGATTTACTCTCAGTGGAAATTCTTTGGATTTTGGCAATTGCACGAATCTGTTCATTTATGTGACACACCACCAATCCCCCTTTCATCCGCCTCATCGCTACTCTTTGTCCATTTGGCTCTTTTGCTATTTTGGACAGCAAATGCCAGTGCCGCCCGTTTCCCGCTTTTCACCCTTTGGGCGGCAGCCTTAGTAAACATCGAAAAACAAAAATTGTCACTATATGAAAATGCGGAAAACTATGTGTGAATCTGTACGTTTGGATAGATGGATCCTATATATAGATTGGTCGACATTTGGCTAGACCTGTTCGCTTCACTGAACGATGTCCAGTCCAGTTTTTATGGCTCTTACTTATCCGGCAAGCAGAGTGGCGGTTATGTCGAACATAAGACATCATTAAAGCTCAAGGATCTCACCTGATGATTGTGCCAGCGTAGGCAAAACTGCTGCTGGTTGTCATTGTGCTGCAGCTGCTGATCAAAATGATGATGCTGCGGTTGTCTGGCATTAGTGCTATTTACATGTTCCATAATTCATCTGGGTTTGGATCACATGGACCAGCTGCAACGGAAGGAGGAGAAGGAAATGCAATTAGTGGATGTGCAAGATGTGCAAGATGTCGGTTGTCAGAGAGAGAGAGAGAGGTAAACAAAATCTTTTTTTCGCCTTCCGCGAAGCCCACTTGGCTTCTTTGTTTTCGTTTCTCATAATTTGTTTGTTTGCATTTTGGTGGTTTGTTTATTTATTGAACGTTTTGTCACACACACACTTTTCGTGTCTGCTCTTCTGACTTTGGCTAGCTAGAAGAGCGTCTGCACCACGAGGCGTATACGTATTCTGTCGTAGCAGTTGGCTTATTACTCATACGCCTAGTCACGGGAAATCTAGGGGAATGCAGGGGAAGGAATCATTTTCTAGTGACCGGGAAATGGCATAATTTTATTTAATAACAGTTTGATCCATCTTTAGGTGGGTGTTTCTTCAAGGTATCCCGATTTCGAGTACTCCTTAGAGGCACATTCTGGTCTCGTTGACCAAGTCAACGGGCTGATTTGCTGAGACATTTTGCTGAGTGCCCAGTTTGACGAATCGGAATTACAATAAAAACATACACACTCACGCACACACACACACACACACGCCCAGTGTTATTTGTGTTCTTTGCTGGCAATTAAACTAAATTTATTTAAATAAAATAAGTTTTCCTTGGCTGGCCTGGCCTGGGCGATCTGATCACAGTGCCGCTGTGGGTTTCTGGGTGCACTATAAATTTGGCAATTTCCATTGTTCGGATCGTATAGATGTGATGCACTGGGCGGGCGGGCGGTTGGTTGGTCGGTTGGTTCACACTTTTGTCCGAGGGCTATTTATAAGATTCTAAGAGATGCTAAAAGGAAGCTGGGGTGGGGATTTTGGGGATTTCTCGGTCTATGCTGCACCGCCGACCATTGGAGGCCCCCCAAAAACAGCCCGGCCAATGCAAATCCGCAGCAAAGTGACAAGTCCGAGTCTTGTGTTTTGCTTTTTTCTTTTTTTTTTTGTTTTTTTCTTAGCATTTTAGCTAGCCCAGCGTGCAATTGTTGGACGACGGAATTTTCTTCATTCCATTATGTGTGCACATGGGACTGAGAATCGCATCTAAGCATTTCTCTATTGAGAGACGATGGATGGTGGAGGTTGCCTTGCCATGCCATCCCATGCCTTTCCTTGCCTTGCCTGATGGGGCACAATGGTTGCCTGGGATTGGAGGGAGGAGCGAGGTGCGGCACGGCCTTTTTGGCGCTCGTTCACACAAGAAAGTGTTGTCGTGACAGTCAGGCAGCCTTCTTTTCCGTAACTCTTTGGTATTTCGCTCAATTTTTACTTGATTTTCCGAAATTAGTTTTTCAGCCTTTCAGCTAGCCAGCTAGCCATCTTCTCCTTCATCTCCTTATACTTCTCCGTCCTCTGGCTGTTGTTTTAAATAGCCATCCAAAAAATAAAGATCTGTGCTAAACGCTCTCGCCAGGCTGTCTATTTTGATTTGTTGTCCAAGTGCCTGCCTTTTGTCATCAACGGCAGGCAATTCATTCCAAAGCACCTCGCAATCGTTTTCATTTCGATATTTGGTTTTGGTTTTTAGCTTTAGTTTTGCTTCATTTCTTGGCCATTCCGCTGATGCGTAATATTTTACACATAATCACTCATACGCCTCGTTGAGCATGGTATGTGCGGTGGGGGAGGATAAATAAAATGATTCTTAAGCCTTCGACGTTGTCTTCTTGTTGCTGTTGTTTAACTTTCATTTGTTCCATGAAATGTGGCGCACATAAATTTGATGTCAAAGCTGTTTTCTTTTTCGAAGAGGTATTTAGATTTCATTATAGAATTCGCACGATCAGAGCGGTCTCTATAACATATATGTGGCTGTGAATCACGCATAATCCAGTGGCCCAGCATATCTGCCCCTGGGTATAATCTAATAATAGAGCTCCGTGGCCAACCCTTATGGCCGAGGATCTCGAAAATACTTCTTTTATGCTAATGGAATGCTCGTGCCGACCATCAAAATTATATTTCCTTTTTATGTTTTTTATTTGGTGTTTTAATGGCTCGCCTTTAAGCGCTTTCATTCTTCCGTATTCGAAATCTCTTCTTTGGATTCCTCAACGACATTACACAATTTACTTGAGTTAATCACTCGTTTCTATGTTTTGTTCACTGGGTTCTCTTTCGTAGAATCCTTCACATTCTTATTTTGATTTTTAGTTTCTTTTTTTTTTTTTTCGTTTTTGGTTCACACATATTTTCCTAATGCCATTTTCCCCGCTTCCGTTACGAATTTTCCCTTTCGGTGATTTTTCGCGACGGGACGAGCGCGCACCTTTGTTAACCGTTTGCTGCTCGCATCTGAAATGAAAAAATCCGAAAATGTTTCAATTCTTTCGTTTTAGTTGGAGATTTTCTATTTTTCGAATGTCCATCTCTTGACAATTTTCCTCTATCTCGTGTTGCTGTTGCTGTTGGTGTTGCTGTTGGCCCAAATGTTGTTGCTGCTGCTGCTGCTGCTGCTGGTGGCGTTGCTGCTGCCATTTGTTTAGCGGATTCGAATGTGGCTCTCAGTATGTCGGGTGGATCAGTTTGTCGCCCGATTCCATGTTCTTTAATTAATGAGCAGCCAGACCCCAGAACAGTGAAGAGAAATCTCAGCGGTTTTGTACTCGCATTCTAGCCTCTTGGCCAAAAATTAATTGGCTTCCCCGCACTTAGTTAATCAAAACATTTGCCACACTGGCAAATCATCATCATAATCATCATTATCATTTTCGTCATCAGGAGGAACGGCGTCCACTTCGTCTCTAGACACAATTGACATGATCGGTCGACAAGCAGTGGAATTTGTTGCTGCATCATGTGCATTATTAATTTGCAATAAAATGTGGAACCCGGCGACAGCAGTTGCCGCCACATGAAAATTGCCCAACGAAAATAAATTCATACCTGGCACATTGGATTTTGAATTATGGCTGACAAATACAAATGGAATAGCCAGATGGAGACGGGCAACCCAGCAACTGGGCACACAGCACCTTCATTATGCACTTTTTCAAACCATTAAAATGCCACAAATACTTATTTATTATTGTCATCTGCGGGCACCTAGATTTGGGTTAGCAGCGTCGCAGTTTGGAGGCAGTCTGCAAATATCTCATAATATTCCTTTTCTCTAAAATAATTTCATATTTTTAAAAGTGATATAAAGAAATAATTTTTAAAATAAATTAAGATTCTGTTTAATCTGCATAACAGGAATAAGAAAGGTAAGCAAACCATTTTAAAGGGATTTTTGTAACACTTTCCTTTAAGTTAGTTCATCTTACTAGTAAAGTTTAAAATAGATCTAAAGACTCAAGCAGTGAGCCTCGGCCATCGGCTTGCATTGCATTGTGGGAAAGTCCCAGCCATATTTGTAAGGACATCTCACGATAGTTAAGTAACCGCTGAGGCACCTGTAGAAGTACTCGCAGCGCTGGGGATGAGGATGGACACCATCTCCGGTTAAGTCGCAGTGTGGTCTTTCAGAAGCTGGTGAAGATGGTTTGGGGGTTGATGAAGATGGTGAAATGGTTGGGAGGGTTGGGGAAGAGTCTGCAGAAGGTGTGGAAATATCTGAAGCTGCTGTAGAAGACTCCGAAGATGTTGTGGGTGTAAATTGAGCAGGCGGTGTGGGATGTGGAGTAGTACCATCACTTCCCTCCTCCTTCTCAGTAGTCTGCTGATCGCCTTCCGCTTCGGTCAGGGCAGAAACAGAGTTACCTAGGCACACTCCGTTATCATCAAAGGCACACTCCTGAGTCTGGTCGTCGAAGTAGGTTGACTCCGGACAGCTATCCCGGAAAGAGTCCTCGCCATTGCAATAGATGTACGAGGCGCAATCGTCGATGGCCATGACAAAAGTATCAAGAACCGCATTTGCACATTGCGGAAATTCTTCTCCTTGGATTGGACTAAGACATCCTGCTAGGAGCAGCAAAGAAAGCCAGGATTGTACTTTAAGTGACATGTTTATGAAGTTCTTTCACTCTTTTTGATGGAACTGAAGCTGGTGTGCCCCTTTTTATGGCAAATTTCAAGGTCGACTGCGAAACTCTTATCGCAACTCTTGTCGCTGATATCTGCCATGAAGAAATGTTGCCAATTTTGTTTTCTCTTTTTAACTAGTAAATATGTCAAGGCCGTGTAATGACTTTGAGACAATGATAGAGAAACATAGTTAAGTATATCTAGAAATTGGACTTCATTGTATGTTTCTTTTATATATTTAAATACCTATATGATTGACTTGAACTTAACCTATAACAAAACTTTAATTGGCAGTTCATTGATCTAATCATAAGACTTTCCTAGTCTGTGTTTAAGCTACTTTTATTTAAACATTTTTGTATAATTTTTCATATGCAACTGTTCCACAGTTAGACTCCTGTTTTAAGTACACCTTAGCCTGTGAAAGCATGCTCAGATCATGGTCCACTAAGTCCAATTGCTGTTCCAGTTGCCTCTTGAGGTTACGCACTCGCAACGTGCCCATGGAAAGGGGCAACCGGTTGTATTGGGCAATCAATTGGCTTTGCCGTTCACGGGCAGCATCCAAGAGAGCCCTACGTTGTTCGCTGGATATCAGAATAGGCTGGGTTTCCTGCTCTTTAGGTGACGCTGGCTGAAGATTCACTTGATCTTGTGGTTCAGACTCTTCTTGTGGTTGGGCCTCCTTTTTAAGGGATGCCTGCGATTTCACGCTTAACACATCCTCTGGGTCCACATCGACAACCTCGGGAATGTCCATTTGGCGGACCCTAGGAGAACTCGCCGTAGAGGAATGGGAACTCATAGATACATTATCATCCTGCTTTACGATAGATGAGCAACAGTTGTCCAAGAAACATAAACCGCCAGGCAAAATGCCGAACACGTTGGCTAGCGGCCGGTGCAGTGTGTACTGCCCCGGTTGATAGCCAATGCGTTGTTTCGGCACTGTGCCCAGCTCAAAGTTGGACGCCGTGCAACGCAGCTGCAAACCTTCGCCGGAGAACAGTTCTCCCCTACCGTTTAAGGGATCATCACCCTCGCTGCGGGATTGAAACTGCGATTGGCTTTTGTCCGTACATTTTAGCAGGGCGGCACTGAGAAACCGTTCGTCGCTGATGTCCTCCGTTTGGATCTGTTTCTCGGATAGCTCTTGCTGATTGGAAATAGTTTGTGCGGGTCTACCTGCACGTCGCTGAGGTTTTGCCAATGGTAGCTTAACTGATCCGCAGCATCTGGCCCTTGAGGCAAGCGTGGGCTTTTGATAGCTTGGCGAGCCCTGGCTGACCATCATTCGGTTTTCGAGCAGAAAGTTGCGCGTTTTGGTCATCTAGGGCCACGCTATCGACTGCTGATTAAGTTAACACAGCAAGTGAAAAAAAAACAAATATAAAAACGATGAACGTGGGTAATTGTTTGGGAGGCTACAAAAATCAACTGGAAAATAATATTTAATTTATAGGAAAATGAAGCTTTAAGCAAAAGAAGTTGTGATCTAATCTCAAGTTTAGTTGGATTTATAGAAGAATTATATTATTTAATTTTTAATTATTATTTAAAAGAGTTATAAACTTATCAAGAATCAATATCACATCCTATTTAAGCTGATCGAAGGCCTGTCTTAGCATTTGATTGCAAAGGGCAGCAAAGGGATTGATTTCCACAAGCTAAAATTAGTATCAAAATGAGAAAAAATGTTGTTGGGAATAAATTGAAGAGTTTGGTTACCTGTTCCCTGGCAAATTTACTACCCAATTGGGCTGCTGCCTCAAAATCTGCACGTGCCTTATCCAAGTTATCAAGTTTACGATATAAGACTCCCCGCTGGCAGTGGGCATGGCACTTGGTGCGTGCCTGCTGATCATTGGCCAGTTCCAAGGCTCTGTTTAAGTCATCCAGTGCCTCTAAAAACGTAAAAATAGATTAAAAGCGTTCTGCTAAACTGAAATTGTTTAAAGTTTAAGACTCTTTTATAACCAACCTTCATCACGTTTTGTCAAGCGTAGCGTCTGAGCCCTATTGTTTAGCACAGAAGCCCTCTGAGACAGGGTAAGTGATTGCTGGAATAGATCTAAGGCCTCCTCCAGTTTACCCTTTTCAGATAACTCAATGGCTTGTAGTTCCAGTTTCCTTGAAGCTCTTATGGCTTCAGTGTCCGGCTCTACATCCTTTAGATCACCTTCGGCGGGCACGGAATCTGTAGCTTGGACACCGCTAAGCTCAAGGGGATTAAAGATGGAATCGAGTACTTGCTGATCGTGAGCACTTAACTTAAGATTGAGCTGAGGCATCTTACGATGTTGTTAACTTAAGTGGTTCAGTCAAACTGAGCTTGGCATCTGAGTAGACAAACTACAAAATAGTTGCGAGGAGAACGAAATGCAAATTATGTCGTTCAACCTGTTCAGGCAAAGTTAAAAAACAAAAAAAACATTTTCAAAACCAGTCGTGTTTACCGACTTAATAAAGCCTCGCTATGAGCTGTCTTGATAAGAAGATAAAATCCCATTTCTGTAAATGTTACAGCTTCCAATATCAAAAGGTCAAAAATGTCCCAACTAAATTATAATCGAAAGTACATTCTTTAGTTACATAAACATAAATATAAACATAAACTTAAACATAAACATAGCCTTAAAATGTAATATTATATTAGCGATTCCTATCGTATCACGGGGACGGACTCTCGCCATTTGGAAGTTGTTCATCCGTTATCTCCAGCATTTCCATTGATGGCGCTATTACGGACTCAGCATCCACGGGTGGGTTGTTCAGAAATCGACCTTCACTCATATCTATCCAGCGGTCGGTGATCTGAAACTCAATACTTGGTCTTGAAACAAATCTATTAGCCTTCCATTTGCAGTTACGTATAAACAAATAGACGGTTGGGATTATTAAAATTAACAGGGCACTAAGGATCACTACCCCTTCGATTATAACCGTCTTCTGTTGTAATACACAATCTTGCAAAAACTCTATAAGCCGTAAGATACGTTCTGAGTTTTTATTCAGTTGCTGTTTGGGGTTATCCATTAAGAATTTGTCTATTTCTGATTTATTTTTGGAGCTCACAACCTTCACAGTCGAGGGATTGAAATGTACTAGTTTTTTCCTTCCCTTTTCTTTCTTTGATAAGCCCCTTCTCTACACTTGAAGTCTACACAAATTGCTATATACCCTATTTTTCTTGATCTCTTGGTTATATTTTTAATCACATTTTTAATGTTTCTAAATTTACATTTTTAGTATATAAGATAAAATGATAAAATGTACTGGAAATATGCAATTATTTTCTTAGTGCGAGGTAGTTTTTAGGCGGGACACTTAACACTAACGTCTATTCGGTTCTTATCTTTTGAGCGCTGAAATGATTAGTTTTCTTTTTTTGGCGTTAATACAAAACATTTATTTGAGTTTTACAGTTTTTTTTTTAGAAAATATAAATAACTCATTAGGCGTTAAGCCGGTTGGAAGTCTCTATATGTCTCTCCCACTATCCAGTTGCCGTTGGTCTGAGATTCTGAAACAGCATAGCTCTTCCTCTTCTTTTCGCAGGTCAGAACGAAAAATATATAAAGCAGGCTGATTAAAATTAATAGGCCACCAAGGATCAGTATTAGTCCAAGCATAGTCGCATCCTGCATGGCTATGCAATCATTAACAGCATCAATAATCATTTTATTTCTTTCAAATTCGTTTTGGAGTTGTTCTCTGGCTTCATCGTTATCCATTATGACTTTTTCTAATCAGTTAATTTTTGGTGCTCACAACATTTAAATTCGAGGGTTTGGAATGTACTAGTTCTCGACTTCGTTGATCCACGCACTTCCCTTTATTGGGCTTGATAAGCCATTCTCATATTATATTATGAAAGTGGTTTTTGTATACCCTAACTGTCTTCAAAGTCTTTAATAATGGTAAAAGATATTTTGAAAATTAAAGTAAAAGTTTAAAGATTCTTAAATTACTTTTTTTTTAATTTATAATATAAACAAGTTTTATACAGGAAAAATGCAATTGTTTTTATTAATAAGATATACTTTATAGTCGGTACACTAATGTGTAATGAAAAATGAGATTTTTTTATTTTTTGCCGCAAATAAAAACATTTGAAGTATTTTTTGTAGTTTTTTTTTGTTTTAAAATTATTTTTGCTAATTTGATGTTGTGAAGAATGTCTCGGCGGCGACCGCCCTTTATTTAGAAGTTGCTCCTCCCTTGCCGCTGGCGTTCTTAACGGCATCTGTAAAGCTTCGTGGTAGGAGGCATTACGACCTCATCGGTTATCCATGGCCAGTGACTGCTCCGTCAATCGGCTATTGCTCCTATCCATTCGGCTATCGGTGGTCTAAGACCTATTACTAATGCGAGAAACAAATCCCTCGACCTTCGTTTGGCAGGTCCGCGTTATCACATAGATGAGCAGAATGATTGCAATTAACAAGGCAAAGAAGATCGGTACTGTGGGCGGTAAAGCACTATCTTGCCCGGATTTACACTTTTCTAGTTCACTTTCAATCCTTTCAATGGATGTTTGTGTTCTTAATTTAGTTTCTCTGACCTCTTCCAGATTTCTTTTAGTGTCATGTATTACTTTTTGATTGGCTGTCTTTACCGAAAAATGACTAATTTTTGCCCATTTCAATGCACTAATTTCAGAACAGAGTAAATGGCGAGATCGGCTTTCACATTGAGAACTAGAAGCGTTGGACACATTCAGAGCGATAGCCGCGTACAAAAACAACAAAGTCAACTTAAGCATTTTGGAAGCTCACAACCTTCAAAGTCGAGTGTTTGAAATGTACTAGTTTTTGATTGGGTTCGCTGATTCACGCAGTTCCCTTTACTTTACTTGATAATACAGAATTTTAGATTTTAAATCGCGGAATATGAAGCTTTCTTGATATTTTGTGTACCCAGCTTTTGCCTGAAAGCCATGCTTAATAATCAGTTTAAAATATTGTGATCACTTAACATATTCTAAAATATTTATAATAATTTAAAATTAATATCTACAGGAATGGAGGTTATTATACTTTTTAAAATGTTACCTTGAGATATATTTGTTCTATATTACAACATTCAAAAGTGTGAGATATTTTTTAGTCGGGACATTGAGCTTTAAAAGTAATATAACTTGTGGCCCACGGAAGATTTGCGTTTTAAAATCCCTATAAAAATATCAATAAATCCCAATTTCGAGCGTAAACTTAACCGTTTCGTAAACCGCAGACCTTCTACTAAATATCTGACGCATTGACAATGAGATTCGAAATGTCAAAGTCAAAATTAACGATAGTTCAAAAAGCAAACGCTACATGGGCTACATGTCTCTTATCTGTTGTGCGTTGAGATGAGCTTTTATTTTGGCGAAAAAATATGAAACAAATTTTAGGAAATCAGAATTCTTCTTTTATATATTAAATATACATATATAATATAAATTAGGGTTTTTAATAGAGAATCCTATCGTATGACGGCGGCGGGGTCTCTTCATTTGGAAGATCTTCGTATATAGTCTCCGGCGCTTTTATCGGCATCTGTAGAGCTACTTGGTAGGATGGCGGCACTCTAGACTCATCGGTAACACATGGCTGCTCCGGTAATCGGCTCTCGTCCATTTCCATTGGGCGGGTGGTGGTCTGGGGACCATTATTTACCCATCTTCCGCAGGTCCGTTGAATCACAAAGACGATCAGAGCGATTAAAAGTATAATGGTAATGATGAACACTGATATTCCGATAAACATACTCGAATCCGGTTTGGATTTACAGTCTTTTAGTTCAGCTTCCATCTTGTTAAGGATTATTTGTGATGTTAGGCTTTCTTCCATTGCCTTTTTTAGTTCCTCCATAAGTTTATCTTTTATGCTTTCATTGTTGCGCACTTCAGCATAATACTTATCTTCTTCCATTCGCATTTGTATAATCCTGGAGCAGAGTTCGCTGGGTTCATGGCTTTCACAATAGAAACACGACGCGATTTTTACATTCAGAGCAATAGTCGTAAGCAAAAATAATATAGTAAGCTTAAGCATTTTGAGAGCTCACAACCTTAAAAGACGAGTGTTTGAAATGTACTAGTTTTTAATTGGCTTCGCTGATCCCCGCTCTTCCCTTTATTTGGCTTGATAAGCCATTACCACGAATTCACGAAGCCAGTCGTGGCGAATATTTATACCCTACTTTCCTTAAAGGTTTTGAATAATAAAAAAGACAAAATATATTTTTTTTTTATTTAATGATTAAATCAAAAGTTGTAGGTTTTAAAATTACTTTTTTAACATAGAATGGAAATAGTTTTACTATTGCGAGGTACTTTATAGGGGTCACTAAAATCTAACTCCCTGTTTTGTTCTTATCTTTTGAGCGTGAAATTACAGTTTTTCATTTTTGGTTTTTGCTTTTGTAGTTCTGTGGTTCCAGACGTTGTTTAGAATTTGTTTTTTAATTCTTTTTAGAAAAACGAAATGACTCATTTGTCTCGAGGCAGTGAGTCACTAAATATCTTAAAGATTTTTATACAATATGTATAGTTCGGAGCAGAAGTAAGGCACAATTCATAAAATCTAATGTTTGTTTGGAGATTCATTTGTAAACAAATAATAACGAAAAAGATTACTTCGGGTTTTAAAACTTTCGATCCGTTTTTCCTCGCTGACACTTATCTCTTATATTCTATTATCGTTGTAAACAATAAAGTATATGGCATGTGAAGAGGTAGGCTCCTCAATAAAGAATCCTATCGTATGATGGCGGAGGCACATCTTCGCTTTGAAGTTGTTCATCCGTAGTCCTTGGCGTGTGTATCGGCACAGTTAGAGCTGCTTGGTACGATGGCGGCAATAGGGTGTCGCTCCTATCCACCCGGGGGCTGGTGATCTGAGACCTATTACTGGGTGTTGAAGTAGATCTCTTCACTTTCATTTCGCAGGTTCGTCTAATCAGAAAGACGAACAGAATGATTGCGATTAACAAGGCACAAAAGATCAATAATAATCCGGTGGACATAGATCCATCCTGTCTGGATATACAGTCATGCAATTCATCTTGAATCCTGCCTCTTGATGTGTATACTGTTGTTAGTTCTTCTCTTAATTCCTCTAGATCTTTAGTAAGTTTGTCTATTAAGGCTTGATTCGTTGTCTGTACATCAAAGTGACTGCTTTCTGCTAATTTCATTAGTGAAATTTCAAAACAGAGTAAGCTGGGATCAGTTTCTTGGCATGGCAAACACGACACGATATGCGAATACAAATTTAATATAAATAATATTAATATTTTTGGTTTCAGCATTTTTGGAACTCACAACCTTAACACTTGAGCGATTGAGATGTACTAATTCTTAGAGGTGGAAAAACATCAATGCCAACATGTCATCGATGTTTTCGGAACATCGGCAACATCGATTTCTGCAGAAAATCGCGCATTTTTACTTTTGCATTAAATTGGCATACATACGATATATTATTTATAGGGGCATTAATTTTTTTTTTCCTTTAGTTTTCATTTACAAATTGGTAATTTTTTATGTAGAAAATTTTATTTCTATTTTTAAGCATTACAAATTAAAATAAACTCATTGTATTATATTATATTATTATATTATATTTATTATATTTTTTATTTTAAACATCGAATCAAAAGGATCGAGAATATCGATGTTTCCCCACCTCTGCTAATTCTTGTTTCGCCTATCCACGCACTTTCCTTTATTTTGCTTGAGAAGCAATTCTCATATTTTTAAAGTCATAGCAGTTATATGTATACCCTTCTTTTCTTTCTAAGTTTCGATCAATAATAAAGCCCAAAATATTTTTACTTCTTATTTTAACAATTAAATCAAAAATTTTTAGTTTTTAATTTACTTTTATAACAAAAGAGTTAAATAAAGAACAAAGCTAATAAATATATTAATGCAAGGTACTTTATAGTCGGCTACAGAAATCTAACTCCCTGTTTGGTTCTTATGTTTTGAGCGTTGAAATGACATTTTTTGGCGCAAATATGAAACATTTTTCGTTTTTGCTTTTGTAGTTCTGTAGTTCCGGAGGTTGTTTAGAATTTACTTTTTTTATTCCTTTTAAAAAACGAAATCACTCATTTGCCATGAGGCAGTGAGTCACCAAATATCTTAAAGATGTTTACATATATACATACATATGTACTGTTCGGAGCAGGAGTAACCCACAATTCATAAAATCTATATTTGTTTAGAGATTCATTTGTATATAATTAATTACGAAAACCATGCCTAAGGGTTTTAACATTCTCTATCCGTTTTGCGTCGCTTTCACTTATCTCTTATATTCTATTATCGTTGTAAGCATGGCGGTGTAGGAAGTTACATAGGCTCGTCAATAAAGAATATCGTACGGCGGCGGAGGCACATCTTCGCTTTGAAGTTGTTCATCCGCAGTCCTTGGCGTGTGTATCGGCATATTTAAAGCTGCTTGGTACGATGGCGGCAATAGGCTGTCGCTCCTATCCACCCGGGGGCTGGTGATCTGAGACCTATTACTGGGCGTTGAAGAAGATCTCTCGACCTTTTTATGGCAGGTTTGTCTAATCAGAAAGACAAGCAGAATGATTGAGATTGGCAAGATCACTATTAATGCTCTCCGCATATCTCCACCCTGTCTAAATTTGCACTCATACAATTCATCTTGAATCCTGTTCCTTGATATGTATACCATTGAGCTATTTTCTCTTAATTCGTTTAATTCTTGAGTAAGTCCGACAAGATTGGATTTACACTCATCCAATTCATCTTGAATCCTGCTATTTGATTCTAATAATTCGATTTTATCTTGACTATATTTAGAAATATATTCCATTAATTCTTGATTTTGTATCCGTAGATCATTGTGTCTGCCTTGTATTATTGAAATTTTAAAACAAAGATCGCTGGGAGAAGTTTCTTCGCACGATGTGTGACACGACACGATATACTGATTCCATGCAATAGCCGCGAAGAAAAAAACTATTTTTGATTTCAGCATTTTTGGTGTTTACAACATTAACCTTCAAGGGTTTGAAATGTACTGATTCTTCATTGTTTGATTTCGCTTTATTTTGCTTGAGAAGTCATTCCGATATATTTAAAGTCGTAGCACATAGTGACTCATCTTGTAGTTCAAATTTTTATACATAAATTTGCTTAAAAGCATAAATATATGATAAGAACCAGATGACGTTGTGGGGAATTAAAGTATTTAATGGAGAATCATATCGTATGATCGTTTACATCAGCATCTGTAGAGTTATGTGGTACGATAGCGGCATTCTGGACTCTTAGGCTGATGGTTTGAAACCTTTTACCATTTCTAGAAATAAACCTCCATTCTGAATGTCCGTTCAATCACAAAGGCGAACAGAGAGATTATAATTAACAAGACAGAAAAGACCATTGATTATGCGGTCCACATATCTCCATTTTGTCTGGATTCACACTCATCCAATTCATCTTGAATTCTGTTCCTTGATTTATATAATTTTGAGCTATTTACTCTTAATTCGTTAAGTTCTTGAATAACTTCGACAAATAAGTCTTTATATGTTGTCTGTAGCTCAGTAAGTGCTTCTATTAATTCTTGATTTTTTGTCCATACATCATAGTTTCTCTCATATAGTTGTGAAATTTTTAAACACAGATCGCTGGGAGCAGTATCTTCGCACGATGTGTGACACGACACGATATGCGAATTCCAAGCATTAGCCGCAAAGAAAAAAAATATTTTTGAGTTCATAATTTTTGAAGCGCTCAACCTTTACATTCGAAAGCTTGAAATGTACTAATTTTTCATTGGCTGATCCAGGCATTTCCCTTTTATTTAGCTTGAGAAGCCATTCCCAAATATTTAAAGTCGTGCCACATTTTTGTATACCCTTCCTGAAAGTTTTGAATAATAAAAAAGTATAATATACTATTACTGGTTTACTAAACTTAAAGGCTCTGCTTGTCCCTTACTTTTCAGCGTTGAAATGAAACAACGCATTGACTCATTACATTTTCCAAAATTTTTTATATATGTACATTTTAAAACATACGTATATGAAAAGAATAAGATGGTGTTGTGGAATTAGTACTTTTAAGGATTCTCTCTGTCATACGACCGTCTGTATCGGAAGCTGGACTCTTAGGTAGCCCATGGCTGCTCCCGTCGGCTGATGGTTTGAGACCTATTAACAGTTTTATAAATACACCTTCATTCTGAAGATCCGTTCAATCACAAAGGCAAACATGATGATTTTGATTAACAAGACAGAAAGCACTAGTAAAAATGCATTCCACGTAGCTCCAACTTGTCTGGTCTTACACTCTTCCAATTCATCTTGAATCCTTTTAATTGTGTTTTTGAGATATCTGTTCTTGATTTGTTAAGCTTCTTCTTAAGATTATCTAAGAAGACTTGATCTGCTTTTCATTACTTTAATTCTAGAACAAAGTGAATGGCGGTCACTGCTATCACATTGGAATCTATAAGCATTGAGGGAATTCAGATCGAAAAATAATATCTGGTTAGGTTTAACATTTTTGGACCTCACAATATTTAAAATCGAGAAATTGGAATGTGCAAGGGTAAAAAATTATTATACTTGATAAGGCTAGCCTTTATAAAGTTCTCCAACTGATTCATATCAACTATATGATGTGAGTTAAAATGAAACAGCTTTCTGGGTTTTCAACAAACTTCATTAATTGTACTCATTCGACTTGAAACGTTCCTCTATTAATATTAAGATTCCGCAGAAAGTAGTTAAGGTTAATTACTGAAGATTCTGTCGTCAGAATAATACAATACTTTCGGTATATTTATGATCGCTTTATTTAATATATGTCGTATTTACTTAAAGATATTGCACTTTGATTAATTTATTACTTAACTGCCTACTAATACTGCTGCTTGAATTCTTTAATTTCGGTACCAGCTATTTCTACTTCGTTTTTCTCGTTGCATTGGCTTGTCGTGTTTTTTTGTTTTTATTTATTTGTATCTAATGGTTTAACATATATACTTTGATCTGGCGGTCACTATAGCATATGATTTCTTGATCTCTTGAGCATATCACAGAACAAAAATGACAGTAGAATATGACATGTTCGGGTCTAGTGTGGAATAGTTTAAAGTTTAAACCTTAGTACGGGGCATAGAAAGTGTAAAAATATTATTCGGAGCTTAAAATTAATATATTCGTGTATGAGTATATGTTTATCTGATATATATATATATATTTATGTATATATATGTCGTGTAAATGTTTATATAAACTGTGATATCGTTTTGTTTTTTGTTTTTTTTTTTAGAAAAATACTGAGCAAAAGTACTTGGCATTGTGCATTGAGGGTGTCAAGGATCAGGGTTCGCGAACTCTAACTGAGGATCAATTCCTCGACAGCCTATACGAGAATCTTGTCATATGAGGGCGGCGGCGATTCATCCAGCGGAAGTTGTTTGCCCATTGTCGCCGGTGTCTGTTCCGGCAACAATATGGCTATATGGTAAGGTGGCGGGCCGGCAGTTGCAGCCGTTCCGCCCACTGCGGTTAATTCCCGTTCCTCCAGATACCGCCCCTCGCTCATCTCCAGCAGACAGCCAGCTGACTGGGGCGTTCCGGATCCTGCTAAGGAGGAAGAGTTCACACCACGACTATGACAAACCGCTGCCCGTCCATCCGAGCGACCGGAATTAGAGAGCAACGCCTTGGGAATGCGACAGAGACTGACCAGGCAGGCAGCCAGGAAAAAGGTGGCCGAGAAGGCGCAGAAGATCAGCACCTCCAGTCCGGTGCCTTGGTGGTCAAAGTAGAACTTCGTTCCGGCCACAAAAACTGAGGCCAGCACCAGTGAGGCGCACATGCCGCACTTCAAATGGCTGGGTAGCAGTTGTGAGTCCGCATGTTGCAGCAATGCATGATGTTGCTGCTGCAAGCGGTTGCTGTGCCCTGTTGCAGGTACGGCAGCAACAGTTACCGCTGGACTGGCGACGTTTGCTGTGTCGGCTACCGTTGATGTTGCTGCTGTTGCGGCTGTCGTTGAGTGTCGCATGTTGTTGCTGGAATTGTGACGACGGGGCGTGGCATAGGCGGACGATTGTCGCTGGTTGTTGCTGCCGCTGGTCGAGTGATTGCTACTGTGCTGGTGATGGGGGGTATGGTGATAGGCGCTGTAGGCATCATCACTGAAATACGATTTGGGTTGTTATTAAAGGCAAACTTTGCTTAAGAGTTAGGAGTTCCCCTTAATCTCAGCTACTTACGCATAGATATTGCCCGAATATTGCTGCTGCTGCTGCTGCTGATGTGCATCGTAGTGCCTCATGGGCACTGCCATGTTGCCAAATTGTGGATGGTGATAGCTGTAGTGTTGCTGCTGTTGATGCTGTTGCTGCTGCTGTTGTTGTTGGTGCAACAACTGCTGCTGCTGCTGCGACCTCGGCTGATAACGCGCACTGCCATGATGATTGTAGTGCGAGCCACGCGCCACCAGGGGAACGATAGTTCCACTACCAGTAAGGACAGCTGCCGAGGAGGCTATTCCGCTGGCATTGTTATTGTTGCTGGCAGTTGTTGTTGTACCGGTGGCAGCTAAGTTATTGTTGTTGCTAGTGCCACCGCTGTAATGTTGATGCAACATGTGCTGTTGCTGCTGGCCGTGCACAGGGTTATTATTGCCATACTGCGACGACTGAGACTGGCGACTTGTGCCCGGTTGGTGCAGATCGTACGGCGTCTGTGGCAGAGATCTATGCACCGGGGGCATCGACTGCCCGCTGTTGTTGCTGCAACTTGTAGACTTAGTTCTGCGTGGTGGATGACCGTAGCTTAGGCCGCTGCCAGCATGGGACAAGGAGGCAGCCACACGGGAACGTCCAAAACCGCATTGCTGCGATCGCTTGTCAATCCAGAAATGCATCGTAGATTGGGTTGAGCAAACTGAAAGTTATAAAAGTATAAAAGATATTAGATTAAAAGGTATTTAAAGATAGTTTAAGAATTAAAAAATCAAATTTTTCATTTGCGATAACTTCAGTGATAACCAAGATCAGTGACCAGCCCGAAGCCCTCATCATCTAGAAACTCAATGAAATAATTTCATTTGTGAGTAATAGAAAGTTATTTCACAAGTTATAGAAACACTTTCTAGTTAAAAGAAATCAAGGATATACTTTCTTAGAGTGCAGACAGACAGTCATATAGTCGGCATTAAGTGCTGCAAACTTATTTGAAGTTCATGTTGTGTGTTTTGTTGTTTGGGGGGAAAATCCTTGACTAGACAAAGCGCATCTGACTCATTTGGCTTTGTGTCTGCCAGACGGAAGGGAGTCATCCCCCGGTCCCGGCTTTCCCAATTGCTCTTGCGAAAAGCTGAAACAGGAAACGTGCGCATCGCATTTCATTGAGGCTGCCTCTCTGTCTGAAAAATAACAAAAAAAGAAAACCCCCTTCCAGGATCTGGTTCGGTATTTCCTCTTTGTGCTTCCCGGTTCGAAAGGTGCAACAAGGAACAAAGGTTGCCTTCGGCTGAGTTCGGTTTGCCTGGTCAAGGAACCCGCCCGAAAAATAAAACATTCATTGAACGCTTTCACTTCCCGTGTCATTGGCATCCAGCCACATCCAAAACATCCTAAAACACCAACACGACCACAAGGACCCCAACGCGCCAAAATACACAGACAGAGTGCGGCGGCATGATGTGGTGTTGGAAAAAGGCAGTGGGGTTAAGAATTTAGCAAGTCGTTTATTTACCAGTTTGATAAACAAATATTTGCACAAGCTCTCGCCTACAGAAGGTTATTAAAACATTTTTAAAGTATTAATCTGAATTAAGTTAATTAAGTTTTTTTTTCTAAGAAGGCATTATTATACCATAAACCCCCTTCTGATAGAAGTGCACCTTTGTTGCGGGGCACTTGGTGAAGAAAAGCTGAAAGGATGAGATGACTTGGGGTTCGCGAACTATTCAAAGATGGATTATGACGCGCACCTTAGTCTCTGTTCTTAGAAGTGTTTTGAGAGAGAGTTAAATCCCCGAAGCCTTTGTGGCTGATGTTTGCATTTTTGGTTCTTAACTCGCTTAGCTGTTCGTTGAACTGTTCCCCTGCTCTGACTTTGTTATGGTCTTATCGTGGTTTTAACCAATCAACGATGACAGGAGGGGAAAAAGTATGAATTTTAATTTTAAATTATCCCATAGACAATTTGCCGTGTCACGTAAATAATCGAGTAAGCATACGCATCGAGCAGCGTGGCCAAAAGTCATAAAAATCAACCGCACAATAAAATTATTTTTATTTCGGGAACTTTCCTGTTCTACTTGGCAGCAAGGTTCAAAGTTCAATGCCTGTCAACATCTTCGAGAGCAAAATTACACAATACAATGCCAGAGAACGGAGAGAGAATAAATAAATACTCAAGCCCGGGCCAGGGTAATAAAATAAACATATTTAAAAGAGACATTTTGACAACCTTTTGATAGGTACATTTCGTTTCTATTTCTCGCTTGGCGCCACTCGGATTTCGGTTTGGTTTGTTTTTGGCCACCAACACCCACCACCCTTGTTCTTCCCAGCTGGAAGGTTCAATGCTTTGTGCTCCTGCCACCCTGATTACAACCATTTAGTTTGCTTGCCATTCGGAGCAGAGTTCAGCTCGATTTGCCTCAATGCTGGTCAGGATTTGTGCGGAACTTGAAGGAACTCGGCCATTGACATTGTCTCTATGAAAGTGTTGGCCCTTGGACAGATAATCATAAAGGGAACTCCTGCCACTGCTTGTAGAGTGCAAGAAAGAATGATACTCTGCCCACAAAGAATGCCAATTCAATTTGTTTTAATCACCATTTACACACACTATATAAATCACTATCTCAGCACCCACCTTATAATAATTCTATTATCAGGTCCGTCATGCCCCTCGCTGGGCTTAAGACCATCAACAATGGCAAACTGCCCAATCATTGGCTCTCCTTGAAACATTCCCCATAAAATTCATTTAAATAGATACAAATACACTTTTCGATTTCATTCACTGAACCTGTTTTATTTTTGGCCCTCCGCCAGATGAGGTCGCTGAAGTTGCCCTCTGCGCCGCGTTAGTTTCAACTGTTTCCGTGGTGTAGCGGTTATCACATCTGCCTAACACGCAGAAGGCCCCCGGTTCGATCCCGGGCGGAAACAGATGTAACCAACTTTTTTGGTTCTTTTATTTTAGAAATCTCTTTTAAGTTTTATTTATTATCAATTATTTTTTCTAATTAAGTTTAAATTTTTATCATGTATGTACATTAACATGTTCTATAGGGAAATAACAAGTTGAGCTATACGATATGATAATTTTATGAATTTATACGAGTACTTCAATATTATTGTGAACAGAAAAAGAATTTAAATTATACATGTTTTCTAAATTTATATTTATTTTATAAAACATTTTTTGGTTTAAATTAATATTATAAGAGTCATGAGTGCGATGTGTTTAATCTTTTAAAATGCCTTATCTATGATTTTATATAAAGGAAGTAAACAGAAAGACTTTCTTAACTTGAACTTCAAAATACCGAAAACAGTTTGTTTGGTATTTGAAGTATGGGCAAAATAAATTCTTTTAGTTAAACTTATTATTTAATAGTTAAAAAAAAACAAAAGGTTTGTTACACCTGTTTCCGCCCGGGATCGAACCGGGGGCCTTCTGCGTGTTAGGCAGATGTGATAACCGCTACACCACGGAAACAGTTGTACAAAGCTTGTTCAAAGAGGCCCTAGTGACTCATGTTCGGGCAAAATGCCAGCAAATTAAATCAGATCATAAATCTAAACTAATCTAAAGTTAATCAAAAAGCTATTGCTTCACTTCGTTAAATTTAAAATTCATTCAGTCAGGCTGGCATATGAAAGACTTAAACTGGTAATCTTGAATAGATTTTATAATAATTCGAAATAGAACCATATTAGATTTTAAGTAATAAATGCATTTAACATATACGCGTATTTATGTGTATTTTGTTTCTTAAATGAAAATCTAAACGATTTAATAAATCCAATCAAAACTCGCCCAATTAATAAGCAGTCTACAAAATATTTACAATTTTAAAGGTCAGGCCCAGCCAGTTTATTGACTGAAAGACTTGATTGAATTTCGGGCAAACGACACGCTGGAGAGTCCACAGAAATGTTTATTAAACAAAATACTTTGGTCAGTCAGGAAATTCATGGGAAACAGAGCTATCCCAACCCCATAGGCATTGCATAAATGAAATGCCAGACATTCATATTTTCCTGCTGTATTCCCAGGCATTTTTCCTCACCTCCGCCAGCCGGATGAAATCTATGCGTCATTGGGCAAAGATGCCAAAACAAAACACAAAATTGTAAACTTTAAAAGCAGGAAGAAGCACCCCTTTTGGCCATTTTACTCTCACTCGGATGGTTTGTTTTTGCCATTAACCTTTGCCGTTCGCTCTTTTCGTTGGCGGGAAGTGAATTTGTCTCATTCGAGTAACTTTTCAGGTGGGAGGATTGGATGGCAGGTTTAATATTGTGAGGACCGACTGAGTGACTGTCTGTCTTTCTGGCTGTCTGTCTGTCTGTCAGTCGTCCCGACTAAAAGGCCACAAAAACGAACAAAAATCCCTGCCCACTTGATGGCGTACGCTGCGTATGAGCAATGTGCTGAATGCATGTGATTCTGTCTGCGAATATGTGTGCAGATGTGGGTTGTTTTCAAGTGCATCTTGCTACATTTTTTTTTTGTTACCTGCAATATTTTCTTGGTTTTCCGTTCACTCAAAAATATATATGTTCCTTTTCAGCTTTTCAATGCCTTCTCGCCTATTGGCACGTTGCTGTCACGTTTCTCGCCTTTATTGCACACATATTGTTGTTTCTGGCACTGGTTTTCTAGCTATTTTGTAGTTGCTGCAGCAGAGTCCTTGAACGCTCAACTGACCCGACACGACAAACACACACACACACGCGCGCAAACACAGAAACTGACTTGGCAAATAAATATCCTTTTTATGAACAGCTCGTCATACGAAGGACTCACGCGAATTGCAACTTTGTATTCAATTTAATTTAATTCAAAAAATCAGCCACCACGGATTCGCGCTCGAATAATTGTATTTTGCCAACCTTGCGGCCCGAGACGCAGGTGGGCGGTGGGCGGTATTGGTGGTGGGTGGTTTTTGGTTGTTTTGATGGACGATGGGTGGTGCCGATTTGCCTGCGATTCGAACAGCGCAAGGACTCGCAGCCAACTGAATGTATGAATGCAGCTGGGCCAGCGTCGTGCTCGTTTTCACTTTCATGAGTTTCGCAGACCACTCTTTCAACGACCCCTTCTGCCACCCACCACCCTCTCCGGTGGTTTTCCTCTTCTTTTTTTTTAGCCAGCAGACAGCGTTTTGTTTTTGCTTTCTGTATATGTGGCCGTGCAATTTGGTGGGCTTAACGGATGGGTGGTGGGTTTCATGCAATGAGAAGAGCATGAATGGGGCGCTCTCTCATTTGCTCTCTTTCTCTCTCAGTTTTGAAAATAACACGGTGGCTGCACGGCACATGCGCTCCCCGCATATCGCTATTGTGAATGGTTTATCAGATTTTGAACAATAACGGCTGTACTGAGAATGGTGAATGATGATTTAGATTTAACAGTTATATTGGGAAATAACCGTTACTTTAACTTATTGCCGATTAAAAAAACGGTAAATATCCAAAGTAAACAAAGGTCAATAGATTGCCATTGTTTATTTGCAAAATCTAGTTAGAAACCAATATATTCCGGTCTGCGGCACTCCTGCACCTTGGGATCGTAGAAAAGACCCGGAGTGCAGTCTAGTGTAACTCCACTGCCATCGACGCAATAGTAGTAGGCATCCCGGCGGGATTTGTGGGCAAAGAAGTGAACTCCCGATTGGGGGCACTTAATGTCGGCACGACGCATGGGAGATCGGGAATACGGAATAATATTCCGGGCAGCAGCATCAATCTGGAATTGATATAACTAGTTTAGTCAAAATACATATCAGAACTAAATATCTTTCAGCTCACCGTGCACTCTACATTCTTAGCGAAATCGCAATATTTGCCCTCGGGATTGTAGGCCAAGCCGGGTGCACACTCCTGCTCCCAAGGATGACCATTGGAGCAGACAAAATACTTGCTGCAAGAGGCTTTGCTGGGCAGGTAAATGATGTCCTGCGGCTGGAAAGTGGCCGAACAGTCGTTGGCCACACAGTCCACATACTCCGGAAAATCACAACGATCCGTTACGTTGTTATACTGAAGTCCATCCTGGCATTCTCGTAGTACTGGCTTACCATAGTAGCAGAGAACGTACTTAGTACAGGTATTGTCATAGCAGAAGCTGCTCAATTGAAACGACTTGCAGGTGGGCAGGCACTGCACCTTCTTATTGGTGCACACCTGAAGGACAGGATCATATCTAAAATCACACTCAGTCGCATTTGTACACGCGTCTGGGTTGCTCATAGCAATATCTATACAGCTGCCCATTTTCTTTATTGTGTTGTCTTAAAGTTTAGAATATATTATATAGATTAAAAAAAAAACAAATATCCTTCAAACTTACTTTCACACTCGATAAATTTAGAGCAATCTCCCACAACGGGCAGATGAACTCCATCGGCAACATTCTTGCAGACGTCGATCTGGGTGTTGGTGTACATATCATATATATCCTCTTCCTTAACATCTTCTTCTTCGAGGCTTTCGTCTGGACCGGGTGCTTCCACAAGATCTTCGTCGGCCTGAATCCGTGGGACCATCAGAAGAACCAACACTAGACCGGCACTTATTAGCCACTTCACTGGGGAAATAATGGAAATTTTATAGAATTGGAGCCTTCAGAGCCTTCAATCTCTGAGCTACTTACTCCTGGACAGCTCGAAATTTGCAACGCAACTGCTTACTTTCAGCCTGGTAGATATCCACTTTTATATCAAATACTTGTAGACGCCTAATTAGTTTCTGCACTTATCTCTTAGCTAATTTCGGCACACGCCTCTCCTAGGAAAACTACATCTCAATTTCTGCAAACATTTTAACTTTCAATTTGTAGCCACCAAACATCGTGATAATATGCGAACTTTGAAATGCTTTAAATAGGCTGATTCTCAGAACTCTTGAATATCATCATGAAAAGGTGTGATAAACACTTATTGGCAATTTCAACTAGAAACATTTTTTCGAGATTTTTCTGATATCATTCGATGAAAGTTAGTTTTAAGAAAATGTATATAACTATATCTATAATCATTATAGTCCCTATGATATATTTTCTAGCAAAGGGATCAAAAGGAACACATTATTTTTAAACCAAAATAAATAATACTATTCCATCCTTAAATCTTTTGTAATCAGGGAAGAGTCTAAAAGGTATAACTTCCTTTCATCTTATGCAAATACCCATTGGACTCATTTTATCTAATTATTCTTAGCACTTGTAACAATTACATTGGACCTAGTGCGATACATCAGTAACTAGTCATACATAGATGCAAATTTACAGCTGTGGCTCATCGTTACACGTGTTCCCTAATGGCAGAGGGAGCTGCACATATCTTTCAGATTGCCTCTTGTTCGCCAAAGTTATCTTTAACAGTCAAATTTTTATGAGATGATGATGGGGAAGGCACCTTCTAATTACCACCTAAGAACATGCATCCACGTCTGATAAGATTTGGAATTCGCAGAGAAGGAAAACAATCCAGAGATTGGGGTTTACCTATAAATGGAGAAGTTTCCTGAACTGAGGCGATAGTAAGTGGAGGAAACCAAACCAAAAAGTGTGAGTAAAAATCGGTACTCAGAAAGAAAGGCTAACTAATTAGATTTTTCACAGTTCATGATGAATTACCAGCTGGCCATTTTGGCTCTAGTTGCCCTGATCGGTAGTTCTACAGCTGCGGATGGTGATATTAATATCTGCTCCAGTGTGGTCAACAATCTCTTCCTTCCCCACGTGAGCAACTGCAGCAAGTACTACTTGTGCATGAGTAAGTTACTAGGAAAGCTAAATTCCATTATAATTCTCATACTATTCTATCCCCATCAAAGGTGAGGTGGCTATAGAGCGTTCTTGCCCTGCAGGCTACTATTTCGATGCACGTGATCAGGAGTGTGTTACCATTGAGGAGGTCCAATGCATCCCATCTTGTAAGTCTCGTGGTCTGGGCTCCTTCTGCTACGATCGCACCTGCACCAAGTACGTCCTCTGTTTCGATGGTACCCCCGTGATCCGTCAGTGCTCCGATGGTCTGCAGTACAATGCCAACACCGATCGTTGTGACTATCCACAGTATGTGGACTGTGTGGATAATCTGTGCATCCGTGAGAACAATCCGAATAATATCGTCTACATACCCAGCAAGGCACGTTGCGACAAGTATTACGTTTGCTTTGATGGTCTCCCAAGGGTTCAGAATTGCACAAATGGCCTACAGTACAATCCCCAAACTACGAGCTGTGACTTCCCTTCGAAAGTTAACTGCACTGTGGGTGTCTTCAACGTTGTAGTTCTTATAGAAGTTACTTAAGAAATGATTTTCTTATTCCAGGTGGAGAGCCTGCAGCGGAATATCTTGCCTTATTCCCGAGCACCTCCTCGCATCGCCGACATTGAGTGTCCCTTGGAGGGTGCCCATTTCATTGCCCATCAGAAGCGTGAGGATGCCTATTACTACTGCCTGAATGGTCATGGAGTTACCTTGGATTGCACACCTGGTCTGGTTTTTGATGCCAAGCGCGGAGAGTGCCGGGAACCACAGTTTGTAGGGGCCTAGACCTGGCTTAGACTGGCTTAAAATAAAGATCCAATGCTAACGAGATACATAGAAGTTTTTGAATGTTAGGGCTAACAATATTTTCTCAAATAATTTGTTTACCCAAAAATTCGCGCAAAAGAAGTTCCTTTGGTACTTTCTAACGCTCCAGTTCAAGTTTTTGTGATTAATTTAGAGACTCTTAATAAACTTTAAATTGTAAATATTTACTAAGAAGGATTCACTTAGACGAAGAGACTTGGACATTTTTGTTAGGCTAAAAAGAATATCCACCAAAAAAAAGGTTTTATCTTTAGAACTTTTTTTCAATTTTATTAAATTCCGGAGGTACATTACACACCCACATTCTGCGGTTCACGACACTCTTTAACCTCCTGATCGTACCACAGACCCGGCGAGCAGTCCAGAACCAAGCCATGTCCATCCACACAATAATAATAGGCATCCTGGCGAGACTCATGGGCATAGAAATGGACACCATTAGGGGGACAGATTCCGTCAGTAGTTCTGGGCAAAAGACGTGAAAACTGCCGAGCTTTCCTCTGTTCCGTTGGAATCTATAAGGAAGAAGGATTAATCAGTGTGTTCCTTAGAATTATATCAATATATAATATTGCCCTCACCTGACACTCCGCTTTCGATGGAATATCACAGCAATCACAATGGGTACTGAAATGCAGACCAGGAGCACAGGTCTGCTCCCTTGGAATTCCATTGCCGCAGAGGAAATACTTCTCGCAGGACACCTTGCTGGGCACATATTGCAGGTGATAGGCATTGTAGTAGATGGAACATTCGGATTCCACACAGTCCACGTTCTGGGCGAAGTCACAGCGATCTGTTTGAGAGTTGTATTGAAGGCCATCCTGGCATTCCCTTAGAACAGGATGCCCATAGTAGCAGAGCACGTACTTAGTACAGGTTCTCTGATAACTAAAGGTGCTGAAAGTGAAGTCTTCGCAAGTGGGTAAACATTCAGCCTCGCCGGGATTGACACAGCTCTGCGTCTTGGCATTGAATTGATAGGGCCATTCACACTGCAGTTCGATGGCTTGGCCGGCTAGTAGATACAAAAATATTATAATTTTATAAGGGTTATTGCGATCTCATATCAAAACTCACAACGGCAGAGATAGTACCTATTGCAGTCACCCACAAAAGGCAGAAAAACATTATCCGACACGTTGCCACAAAGGCTTAGATTGCCCATAATTAAACCATAAGCCTCATCCTCTGAAGAGCTTTCAGTACTCCCAGAGCCTTCAAACTCTTCAGCTCTGGACTTCAATATGCCACATAGTAGGCAGATAAAGAACCATTTTTCTGCAAAAAGATTGAAAATTATTATTTAAATTCCAGCTACTGACTTGCATACCTCCACTCATTGTCAGCAACTGATTTGCCGCTCATAAAAACTCACCTTTTTAAGGTTCAAGCATCAGATTACCTTATCACTTTATCAATGGAAGCTTCTCTCATACAACTGACAAATTAATTGGCAGGAAAAGTGATGACTCTTGGGGGTCTAATTTTAGATCACAATTTGTAGTGCAGGTTCAACTTAATCTGTATTAGAATGTGGGTTATATTTAGATGAGCAATGTATTTAGGTGTTAAATATAACTTGTATTAAGAGGGTATAGGTTATAATTGTTAAATTTCCTAAATAAAGTTAAATAAATCATTAAAATGTATAAGGAAAAACAAGCGTAGAAAATGTTCCAAAATATGTTTAAGTTTATAAAAACATTTTCTTGTATTTATTGAATAATTCAGATTTCTTTTTATAAATTTGTTAGTTTTCACTGAGGCTTTATTTTACATTAACAGGATTCAAAATCGAAAAGTGTACTTCTTTGTAAGTTTTTTCAAAAAATTTCCCAAATTCATTTCGAAACATTTGCCGCCTGGTTCAGAATTTTCTACGTACACACGAAAACGTTTGAAAATATTTTCGTTTTCGGCACTTCGTTTTAGTTGAAACTTTGGCATCTTTCTGTGAACAGCTCATCGTTCGGAGGATCAAATCTTAAATAAATAGAAATATTTTTTAAAGATATTTTTAATAGATTTGTTCGGTGTTTAGTGTGTAAGTTTTGCATAATTCCTACACTATGTACTGCTGTCAAGTGCCAAGATGATTGACACCATTCTAACTGAAAATATAGTTCAACAAAGAGGCATTTATTTATAGACAATGCCTCGCGGTGGGCCTTTGTTTGTATTGAAAAAATAAATTCAATGTGCACGATATACATAATACCAAATATTCCGTATTCTTTTCTAGCAACTAGAGAATATGGTCAACGAACTGAATAGGCCACAAAATGGGGACAATGCCGCCCTCAGCGAGGTAAGCAGGAATCTCGAAATGCATTTATGCATTATGACACATTTACAAAACAACAAATAAGATTTCATTTCTATATAATTAGTCGAGCCAGATCATTCTGACTAATAATTACATTTTTGTCTTTGTAGCGCCTGGCAGCTTCCAACCGACAGCTGCAAGAAATGCAGGAGGAGCACCGCCAGTTGCTCGAGGAGATGGAGACACTGCGTTTGCGAGCCGCCGAGCTAACACGGCTGAATGCCCAGCGCCAACATCTGAGGCAGGAGGAAGAAGTTACCCATTCATCGACGGTCCGCTCAGTGGAAGCTTCAGAAGAGATCATAGAAGTACCCTCATCTTCTGCCCCTCCTGTTGAAACCAGTGCCCAGGTGGATACACCATCTACCCAGGAAGAGGGCGACAATAGCGACGAGGACAAAGAGGAGACGGCCAGTTATCTGCAGGCAAAGCTAAACGAGATCGCTAACCTAAAGGCGCAGTTTAAGCGTGTACAAAACATGGTAGACACCACCAAAATGATTGAGGAGCACATGTCCTCTAGGCAAACGGTACAGACTAGTTCCTCCATTCAGACCAGCCGCCAGACAACCACTTCTGAAGTTCGAGTAGCAAGTGAGTCTGGAGAGGTTGCTCAAGAGTCCAGTCCTTCGACGCCTTCAGCTCCCGACAACGCAGAGCTTCTGAATTCCATGCTAAACATGTTCACGGACTTCACCAGTGATCTGCGTGGTCAGGCGGAGAGTCTCCGAGCAGAAAGGGATCGTATCAGGACTCTTAAGGAGGACATAATCCAGCGCAAACAGGGAAAATAAGAAAGTCTTGACTTGGATCTAATCCTATTATAATGCAAATCAAAGAAGAATATCCAATTGTATACATATTTACCATATAAATATATAATTATCGTTTATCCTTTAAAGATTTTAGTGTTAAAACTATAAATCCCTGTTAAAATAATAATATTTTTAACATTAAAACCAAATTTTAGATTTCATAACAGCATTAAATACATCTTTTCAAATTTACCGCCTATATCGATAACGATATACCGATCCACAGTGTGAACGCATTATGGTAGGCTTTTCAACCAGTTGACAGCCCTATTTTGGAACAGCTGTCAGAATACGCAAAGCAAAAAACAAAAGTGGGAGTACAAAAAAGAGGAGAGTTTTCAATTTTCTAGCGTCGTTTTTTGTACGCAAATATATATTTTCTAATGGCGCCGCCGCCCAAAGTAGTTGTGGACCAAGGCAGCGCACGCAGCAGCACTAGTAACAACAACAACAACAACTCGGTGGGCGGGGCAACCGGCGCCGTACCCAAACAACAAACGCCTCCAAATGGAGCACCTCCATCCGGAGGAAGTGCTTCAACGGCAAGCAACAGATCAGCTCGATCCCGTCGACAGCAGGAGCACTTGGGTGAGCCGGACATGGACTTCGTGGAGCCATTGCAAAGGGAGACGCTAAAAACATTAAATGTAAGTTAGCGGCACGGTTGTCATGGCAAATGTTCTAGAAGAGAAGACACCAAAGATCTTTCTCTTCTTTGGGTTTATAAATACACTTTACACTCATCTCGGCCTGAGAAAATTCAATTTCCACTAGTTCAGTAGCGAAAGCGTACGCAACCATAGCGGATAACGAATTTCGATCGGCCAAAGCAGCGCCCTTATACATAAATATACATATATATATATCTGAAATAGATATATATATATAGACACCGAACTAGCAAAATTACCGCCATACTCGTGATAATACTTCTGCTAACCTTTGTTTGCTGCTGCTTCAAGGATCTCCTCCATCGAGCACGCATCACCAACGGCAAGAATCGATCCCCGGCTGAGCAGCCGCTGTCCACTAAGGAAACCAGGTCACCATCCCAACAGCAACAACAACGCGCGACCCTGCGTCAACTGGCTGCCGAGCAAAGCAACTACGATTCAGCAGGTTCGTATCGAAAAACTTTTTAAGGAATACACATCTCATTGAGTAATTTCCAATATCCGCACCTGGCCAAGTAATCGGCCTGGCCCACACAAAGATCGGTGCGCCAGTTCATGTTCTATAAATAAGATGCGCACAAAAATAAACGCCCACTGAGATGATGTAGTTCGCTGCCCACTGTTCAGCAATATACCTAAACCTCCATACTGATCTTTTCATATTTTTCATTGCAGAGCAATTGCAGGAACAGCAGCAGCGCTATCGATTTCCCGTGCGTCCTGTCCAGAGAGTTCAGCACCAGCCATCCTCGTCATCTAATAGTACGGGCGCCCCATCATCTTCGTCGGCATTGCTGCGTTTGCGTCAATCGACGCCACCGAATGCTACAGTAGGCGTGGTTATTCCAAACGCAACTACCAGCAACGGGAACGGTAATTTAAGTGGCACCGAAGAGCACCCACCGCCACTGCACCAACTTATCAATCGGCTATTTGGTGTCCAGCACTTCGTACCCAGAATTGAACCAGGTCGTTCCCAGGTAGATGTTTTGCGATCTCTGCTGGGACTGGACGAGAACCTGAACTGCACAAGACACCAACCGAGTGCACAGCAAGTGGAGGTGAGTCTTATACTTTCTAAGCTCAACTTAAAATTAAGCTCTATGATAATTTCCTATATCACTTTTCAGGCACAGATCAACAACATGGTGCACGAGATCAACCCAACCGGAGGACAGGATGAAGGCATTGTTAATTCGACTAGTTTGGAGGATGTTGCATTAAGCGAGGTAAGCTTCTTAGCAAATCCTGTTATCTAACAGCTTAAATTACAGTTTTATTTACCTTGCAGATGAGCGACAATCGTGCCCAGTCCATCCAATCCCTGCACAGCGTTTTGGAAACACCCACGCCCGATACCACGCCCACTTTCGATGAGCTGCAGCAGCGCCTAGAGGCATCAAACAGGAATATGCAACATCTGCAGGATGAACAGGCCAAATTGGTACACATTCAAAATATGGCCAAATCTCACCTTAGCGAGATGGAACAGCTGCGCCAGGAGGCTGATCGCATGCCGCACAACAGCAATGGAGGAGACGCACCCAAATACGAATCGGTGCAACAGGTCCAGAACGACATGGCCTCGCTGGTAGGCCGCATGAAGAATCTCACCGCCTTTATTCACAACCAGAACGAGCTGAGCGCAGTGCTCGGGGATGATGGTCCTGAAATACTGGCAGAGCAGCAGGCATTGCAGGAAAAATTGGAATCACTGCGCACCCAACGGGAGGATATGCGCAATCTAGTGGATGAGCTTAATAGCATAAACCGTACAGCGAGGGAGTCAGCTAGGGTCATCAAAGAGACGACACCTACACCTCCTCCGAAACCAGCTCCTGCTCCAGAGCCGGCCAAGGAGCGCGTTGTACCAGTGGAGTACCAGAGGAACGTACCCATCATGCGTCAGGAAGCGGCAAATGCGGCTCAGCGAGCTCTTCACGCACAGGCAATGATCAACCAAAAGACGGCCGATATAGAAGCCTTAAAGGCTCAGATGGCCAGATTGAAGGGAATGCTCAACACTGTTACCCAGATTGAGGAGGGCACTCCCAGTATGGGCGGCTCTTTGGAGCGACGAAGTGAGGAGAGGTCCAGTGTGGATCGCGAGCTTCCGGCGGAGATAGCCCAGCGCGTGTTCGCCCTGAACGACGTCACTTCGGAACTACGTGCTGAGGCAGCTAGTTTGCAAAAAGAGCGTGATCGCATCCTGGCTCTGAAGGCGGAAATCGAGCGACGCAAGCAACAGGCAGCCGCAGCAGTTCAGATGGGTGAGGAGGCCCTTAAGCGAAACAGTCTAACTCCGACACCGACGCCCGGGAGACAGCGTCAGGTGGCCGAGGAAGAGGATCCGTCTGAGGTGGATACTTCACTTCAAGCCACACCCACTAAGGAACAGCTGCGCGATGAACTGCGCTTGCAGTGCGAGCGCCTGCGCAAGGAGTACGAGCAAAAGCAGCGGGAACTTGAGCAGCGCTACGTTGCCAGCAATAACACCACCTCGGAAGCTGATGACGAGGGAAACGATGACACGGACAGCGATAAGTACTTTGCTAACGTTCGTACCGCCTCCTCGGCAACCCTTAAGCGGGCTGCATCTGCTAGTACAGTTGTGGAGCAACGACGCGGACAGCAGCCGAACTTGCCACAACAACAAGCTCCGCAGCCTCCGGCACCTCCATCCACGCTCAACGAAGATGATCTGAACGTGACAATCGATACCCTGTCCCTGGGCAACGACAGTCTGCCGTCGAGCAGCAACAGGTCACAGTATATGCCGCCACCCATGCCCCCAGTACCGGGAATATGGGGTAAGTTTCTGGGGTATCAATCGCGGGATTCACTAGAACTTATTTTAAAACAATCTAGGTTATTGATTTAAATATTGCTTGAAATTTAATTCAATATCTTATCCAACGAATACCCTTAGCAACACACAACTCTGGTAATTCGTGGCATGGACAGCAGCCGATTTATGGCCAGGCCAGCTCCAGCACCGGAACAGAGTTCAAGCCACCACAAGTAGTCCCGCAAGTGGGCTCCTCAAATGCTTCCGGATCCAACGCCTCAAACGATGCCGTGCTGCTGCAGCAGTTTATGCAGACACAGCAGATGCTCATCAACTCAGTGTGCCAGTGCAACCAGACGCTGTGGCATCAGCAGCGGGAGATCGACAACCTCAATAACCAGCTGCATACGGTAAGTCAGTCTTAGGGATTGCAAAAGATTTGTACAAACTAATAGGATATTTTGATTATATAGCTTCAGGATCGCTTCAATGTAGTGGCATGTCAAGATCATAGCTTCGGGTTGCGCTCGGAATCCGTTCCGCCTCCGAATCTGCCGGTAGGTCCTGCTATGGGTCAGATGCCTAACAATCTGTGCATGGGCAACAGTCGTGCTCAATCGGAGCAGCTATTTAACTTTGGCACCCACCAGAGCGCCTTTAGTAACTATCAGCGTAGCTGTCACCGTACGGGAAGTGAATCTCATCATCATCAGCAGCAACAACATCAGGCGCAGCCGTTCCTTAACAATGCTGCTCCACCGCCGCCGCCGACGCATTACAACAATGAGACGCCCCTTTCACCGCCAACGTACCGCTCAAGCCCGGGTCCAATTTTCATGAACCACCACAACAACACGATCCACCAGAACAACTCAAATCTGCGCACCCAGAATCAGCATGCCAACAATCTGCACTCATTGCCCGAGGGACCAACTGGGGGTGGAGCACCAGGTGGCGGTATTACACTGAACAATCAGGTGCCACCCGGCAACCGGGCCAATAACTACTGGGATAATTTCCGCAGGTAATATAATAACTTTGGTGATGGTTTTTGATCGGGTGTTTTGATGGAAAAGGGTTAGAAACAATAAAAAGTAAATTAAAACATGAGTCTTGAGTTCATTTTCAATTCTGTGATTCGGTAAGTGCAACCAGGCGTTGCAAACGAGTGTTCCATTAACAGAGTTGAAAGTGACTAACCCAAGAATTACTGCAAGTACTAAAAAAAGGGTTGCCATCTGAGAAATATCAAATTTATTTTGCGTTGTAAATAAATTTTCAACTTATCTTATAATTTAATATTTTAGTTATTTATTTTGGTCGTTTAACTAGTAACAAAAACTAACTGCTTGATTTTTGCTGACTGCTTGCATTAACCCATTAATTTACCGTGCGCTTTTGCAGCCACTCGCGCCAGAATCTCCTTTCGAACAAAAGCAATGAGGAGTTGAACGTGGACCATCAACAGTACCGTCGACAACGGGCGCGTCCCAGCTACTTTCAGCCGGCTCCGATACTGGCACCGTTAACGACCCGAAGTGGTTTGACCCACCAGCAGCAGCAACAGCGTCGCCCTTTTTTCGACCAGCCACTAACCGCTTTGCATGGCAGCAGCTCCAATGGCAGCAATAATCTCAACAATAGCGGCAGTGCGGGCAGAAAACGTGACTGGCGCGAAGATCCCGGTCATAATCGCGACCATGATGATGACGATATTGATGAAGTGGAGGAGAACCATGACAACGCCATATTTGGCTCTGGTAGACGCCGGAATCGTCGTCGTCCTCAACTTTCCACACTGCGAGATGAGGAGCCCGAACAGACCAGTTCATCTAATCTCAACATGAACGTAAACTACGGTAACAGTCCGCTGTATCAACGGAACAAGGTACCAGCAAAGCCAACCACTTCAACAGTATCGCTGACTCCTTTGCAGCAGCGACACCTTCGATTCGATTTCGAGCTTCCAGCTCACTATATGGACTATATTGAGCTGCCCCAGATAACTCCAGTGGATAATACTCCTATTCTTGGACAGGAAGTCTCCACCGCGGACGAATCGAATACTTTGGAGCAAACCGAAGAAACGGCCTCCGAGGAGCTGAATCGAAATCTTCTGGTAAATGCTCTGAAGAACGATAAGTTCACCACAAAGTTTTACGAGTCCATAAAGGAGGATGTCTACCGTCGATTGGAGACGCTCTTTGAGCAGCAGCAACAGCAACAGCAGCAACAACAAAATCAGCACTTACAGCAGTCACAAGAGCCGCGCGGGCTGCGAAAAGCTCTAAATCAGGAGGAGAATGAAGCTTCGGGTGATGTAGAGGCCACCGAAAGTCGTAGTGAGTCGCCGCTGGAAGTGATGCGCATGCAGCTGGATAACGACCGTCCCGAAGACGAGAAGGGATCGCCAGTGAAACAACTAACTGTGGTCATTCCCCAGAACGGACATGACCTAGAAGAAATGGAGGCTAGCGCTTCTGCTGTTAGCTCTTCTCTAAGGCTGGAAAATGAAGAGGTAAGAAGGGGTTTCGTATTCCTATTCGATTCACTCATCATTTGCGTCTTCCTAACTAGCAAATGATCGAGGGGAAAGTAGAACATGTCACTGGGTCTGGATCAGGGGGAGGAACCAGCATGGAACTGGCCCCGGATCACGAATTGATCGAGTACATTATCAAACGCATTCGCAACCAGACGCACAACAACACCGTTATCAATGATTCCTTACTGGCTGAGGTGTCCAAGCTGACTGCCACTGCTGCCCAAAATTCAGCAGCCAGTTCGCCACTCATCTCGCCCAAGCGAATTTATGCCAAGATTAAGAAGATGGACATACCACGGCAGCGCGACGAGTTTTTGCTTTGGTATCGTTCCTATTTGGAGCAACTGTTTGTGGTGGAGCAGCCGCAGGACAGCTGCAAGGCTAAGTCGAAGGTGCCAATCACTGGCAGTCCGGCCAAGCAGACAAATAAGCGAGTGCGCGAACAGTCCCAATCCCAGTCGCAAGACTCCAATAATGACGCTGACCTGGCTGAAGCAGATCAGAAGAACGTTTCCTCGTCGGGAAATGGCGACCTCGAGTGTGAGAACAACGAAAATCCCGGCGAGGAAGCGGATGGCCAGGCTGCCGCAGAGTCTTCCGGTGCAGAAAAGCAGGATATCAGCCCGGAATAGGCTATCCTTTACCAATAAGCAAACATTCCTAACTTAACTATACACTCTTATATGGATATTTCACAACTCATTTACGGAATTCGCAGACGTTACATCTTTTTTGTCCGTGTCCCTATTTATATTTATTCACACTTCATTTTGGCCTATAGTTTTATATTTAACATTAAATTATGCAACATCTATATATATATACACAACGTATAACAAGATGGTTTTTGATTTCTGTAACAATCCCTGAGGAAACAGGATCTCCTGTTTGTGACTAGTTACTCCTGCTGGCTGTCATCTGCTCTAGCATGCGGTAGTAGCAGTAGCGACTATCATAGTCTAGGTCGTACCAAAAGTTCACGGCAATGCACTTGTGGCTCTGGGATACATGATGGAACCAGTAGTTGGGCAGGTACAGGATATCTCCGGCGTGAACACGCACTTTTAGCGGCTTGGCTCGGGCATACTCCGGATATGTAGCCAGGTCAGGTGCGAGAGGGTCAATACTGACCCATTCGGTTAGCTGCTCTATGCCATCCTCATCTCGGATGGGTTCAATGTAGAACTGGCCATTTTCTGAGGTTCTGTAAACGCCAGTGGGATAAATTCCACGGGGCACACAGCTGAGCTGATGGGGCGGGATAAGGATAAAGTCCTTGTGACCGGACATTACGCAGTAAAGGTTTTCGTAGGGATCTTTGTGCATGGAGGTTACGGCGCGCTCGTCGCCCAGCCAAAAGTTGACGGCATCGGGACGTTTGTTGAAGGACTGCTCAGCAAAGTCCAAATCCCCTAACCGCAAATCAGCAGCTAGTTCCGGCATGTCAACACTGAGATTTGAATTTTGCTTCTGGATGTAATGGACGGGTCCTGATCGGTCATCCAGGTGGCGAACTAATTTAGACAGCTTCATCTTTGTCTCCAGTGGCAGAACGAAGTACTCCTGTCCTTTTTGAGTGGCCAGACCATCAGCGTAGCCATTTGGGGTGATGGCCACGTCCACGTCCTTGTCCCCTAGAGCACGGATAAGGTACTCCGGTGTCCACTTCGCAATTGCGGGCCATGAGAGCGCCTTTCGAATGACCACTGGTTGGTTTTTGGAGTAATAGTCGCGGCAGAACTCCAGGGCAGTCGGAATCTTGTCGAGCTCGACCACACTGCTGCCGATGCACAGCTCCTCGGCTTCCTGAAGCAACACATCTATCGCCTCCTTAACTTGGGACATGCCGGCAATCACAATCCTATATTAACATATGTTTTTCTAGAGTGGACCTTGTTGTAACAGCGATATGTGGTGTTCCGGTTTTCAGATATATTACAACATTATTATTATGCATATGATTTTATTTTCTGTGAATATCTTTTAAAAATCTCAAAATGTAAACAGAAATAATGTAAATAAAATATTTTATTTAAAGTTAACATATTATAAGCTTTTAATTGTCAACTAAAGACTATTACCGTTACTAACACTATCTATTCCTACATCGTGGTCACACTGAATTCAAAGCACCGATAATCGTTACAAATAATCGTTGAACAGAAAGCGAGGCATCGATAAGCCAATCGGTTCTTGGCCCACCTTTAGTTGACGGTTGAAGCGACGCGAGTGTGAATGCGAGTGCGGGAGTTTCAAGACGCGCGCGAAGCTGCGGACTGTCGGATTGGAAGTGGAGCGAACTGAAAAGCAAATAAGGCGGCGCGTGTCGAGTGTTTATTATACAAACGATTTGTTTTCAATTTGCAACTGCAAACTGTGTTCGTGTTTTTAAATACAAATAATATTTTAACAAATGTACACAAGGAGGATCGGGGCCACCTCTTTTGCATGCCTAACATCTTTACCACGGATGCGAAAAAGCTGTTGGTGATTTCAGCAACAGGTGGCAAACGTAAAAAGGGGCAAATGGATCGTGTCAATGGGCGGGATTTGGCGAAATTTTGATGTTGATAGACTGACATAGGCCCATTATTATTTGCGGCCAAAAGGGGTCAGGCTGTGTGCGCGTGAAGAAATTGAATTGACTTGGCCACCGGCAGTCCGAAACCGAAATCGAAATCTGTGTCGCAAATGTGGCACTAATAAATTATCGCACATTCGCTCGCCGCACTCGCGAGTGCTTCATTAATGCAGAAATCGCAAATGACGGAGAATATCTAGTTTTGCAGCGGCTGCGTTTGTTTCATTTTGCTAGGAACGTGACCAAAATTTTCAAGTGCCGCGTAGATCACCCAAAATAATACAAGTCCCATTGCTAACAACTACAGTGAGCGGGAGCCACGCTTCGCAGAGCAGCGCACAAACAAAAAGAACGCGCTAACTCCGTGGCCTATAAATAACAGTATTCAAAATTACTAAATCCAATTGCAGTCCAATTAGCAGCCGAGCGCCAATGAAGCGCCAGTGAAAGAGTAAGTACAAGGCTTTTTTTTTATTTAAAAAAGTCTTTGACAAGACGAAGTTTAGATACGCTATCGGTTAAAAATGTGCACATGTTAAGCCCATAAATATAGATGCCAAATTCGTATACATTCAAATCCTTTTTTAAGATCACACAATAAGACCTTATGTTGATTTATATGGAATTTATTTTTAGAAAAAACAAAGTTTTCCAATTTAGAGCATTGGCTTCTGTGATAAAATTAATTCTATAAATAAATTTAACAAAATTTGTTGCACGTGCCATGACATAGCTACAAAAAGAAATAATTTATTAACTTTTAACGAAACAATAAAATTAAAAACATATAATTACGATCATTCCAATCAGAACTACGCTAGCTATAGTCTGATCAGCTTCAATCGGTGCGTTTTCCAAATCTTATCTTGGTAATAAAATAAGCTTTATATTGATAGCTTTTAAACTGGGCAGATATGTCTAAATTCAAAGACTTTTTAAACACTTCCGGTGATATGGTAAAAGAGAGCGCTATGCTCCTTAAGCCAATAGTAAAGATACCCTCTAAAAGAGTATAAAAATCAACAAACGCCAACACTGCGTATGACAGTTCTTACGCAATTAAAATACCATCGCACGCTGTAAGATTTACATACAATTTTGACTGCAAAATTGATAAGCGTCATAAAAAAGCAGTAAGCAACAGCTGTGTGAATCAAAAAAAAAAAAACGAAACGAAAGGCAATAAGCCAGTCAAACAAACAATGCAAAGCTCTCTCACACACACACACGCACAGTGAGCAATGCAATTTTTCCACAATTTATTTAAATTTCGCTTAGTTGTTGTTGCTGTTGTTGTTGCAATGCCAAAATCCCAAAATGAGTCAGTCGCGTGGCGTTGCCGCTGCATTTTTTCGTTGCATTTGCAGTTGCAGTCGCCGCATGCCAGCGCGTACTTCTTTCTGGCGACAGAGGCTGCGCCGTCATAAACACTGTCAAATTGCGATCGCCCCAGTGGGTGGGGTCGAGAGGGGTGTGCTGAGGGGGCGTCATTGGCCCACTAGGCGCGCTTTTTTTTCTCTTCCACTTCGCTTGCCCCGCCTTCACTGACCACACTCAACGGCAAATCGACAGCCGCCACTGGGCACAGACGAGGTCGAAAATATAGCACTCGAGGGCACAGAAATCAATTATCAGTTAATAGTTATAGTTACCTTTTCTGTACCTTTTGTTTACTTTAATGTTTGTATTTAAATCATAGACAGAGTAAAGCTTACACTTAAAGAAAAATAATTTAAGTTTTAAAAACAAGTTCTGGTGACTTCAAATAATTTAATAGAGTAATCTCAATCACGTTATCATAATCAGGGATTTCCCTCAAATCTCTTTAAATAAACTTCCAGACGAAAATCTAATCTTCAGTCCATATTTTTCGGGTTTATTGCGTTTTGAAAATAGCTTTAAAGCCACCTGAGTCAGTCTAATATGACTTAGTTTTCCTAATACGATGATTCTTCTAATTGATGAACTAAACTACTTAGAACTTTTATTTTGCTCACCATGCCTATGCTGTCTGTCTAGCTGCTTGAGTGCTTTGCGTGTGGCTTTTTGGAATTGCATTCGGCAAACGCAAAATGATAAATGATTGATGCTCGTGGCCAGAATGCGCATTAGTCGGGCATTAGACGGCCTTTAGGCGGCGCCTGAACTTGGTAGATTCGCCAATATTTTTGGCCCACACACTCCATAGTATGTTATCAGCCACGTCACCGACGCTCACGCACTTAAATTTAAATAGTTAAGTACCCACAATATATAAAAACTAATACTGCTGATTAGCGGCGAAACGGGGCCAAGAGATTATGCGTGGCGTTGAGGATGTCCCTCGGTGGAACGCAAATTACCCGCAAAATTCTTCCATCGAGTATAAACATATATGGTGTACTATAACCCGTCACTTGTTACCTGCATGTCATTCGCACCTTTTGTTGTTGGCATGGAAATTTTAATTAAACCTTTATGCAGATGGCTTTTCAATCGTTTGCTACAACTTTGCCAGCCCTTCGCCTCTCCTCGAGGGCCAATGAAATGTTGGACAAACGCCCGCTTATCATTTAAAGGCAGCTCCAAATGTAAAACACCTGGGGGCGTGGCAGCAGGTGGGTAGTCGACATATGTTACACTCAGCTTTGTTGCTTATCACCAACAATAAGCCACCCGGTTGAGTTGGCGACAAAAAGAGCCTCACCCACCAGTTGGCACACTTTTCGGGGGCTTGGAACTCTCTCATATAGGAAATGTTTTTTGAAGAAGAGGGTACGAGAGAGAGGAAGGTTTCACTGGGTCGCAGTTGGTGAGCCGTTCAAATGGCATCCCATAAAAACCTTGTACAGAAATTAACATAGCCATTAAAGCCAATTCTCCAGGGGAGAAAAGGCACCTTAATAACACGCGTGCTGGGTCCCCAAAAAAAAAGGAGAAGCTTTAATTGATAAAATGCCAGGCAGCTGGGGAGACCAAAGATTCCTTATCAATTCCAACTTACCAAATTCAAACGCATTCCTGGCCTCATTAACATTAACATTAGAAAGAAAAGCGGGCGACGGAAAAACCGTAATAGCAGCTCAAAGCGAAACAAAGTGAAATGGAAATGAAAATGAAATTGTTGCGACTTAATTTCTGTTACACATTCTGTAATGGCTATATTTTATGCTTGCAATGCTTTAAGGGGGGGAGTTGTACGAAAACCACAAAAACAGAAATTGTAGGGATATCGTTTGGGGGTCGACTAAGAGATACCCAGTAAACATAATTATAAAGGTAAGGTTTTATCAGTTCATAAAGTTTACAAAGCCTTAATAAGAACAAAAACGACGATGGAAAAAAGTACCAAATTTATTCTCTTATATCGATTTCGAATAGTCGATCCTACCCCGTCATCCTGAACTACCAAGTGAAAAAACCATGGACATTTAGCAGGGTTTGTGGTGAACTGAGGTTGGTCGCATTTCCCACCTCCAGACCCATTATTGGATCCTGTAGAGCTCTGCTGGAGTGCTGGGGTGGGGAGTGATTCTATTTTATGGCCTGACATTTAATGCTCAGCCACCGAATCTGAATCCGAAACCGAGAAACTGAGATTTAAGCAGGCCGTTGAGGCCAAGTGCAGGCGGCAAATGGAGTGAAGAAGCTGAGCTGAGCCAAACGCTGTGGGTTTAATGCCCGCTTAACCCACTTCGGCTGACAAATGTGCAACTTTAAATCTTCTCCTCAAAAAGCGTTTGAATATATAAATCACACCGGGGCACGCATCACAAGTCGCGCCGGAGGACTGCTCCATTCCCCAACCAAAAATCTGACGCTAATGAAGCCCCAATTAGCGATGTGAAAACTTTTGCCGGGAACCTACCGCTCATGTTGCAGGCTTTTAGGCGCTCGCTATCGCCAGAACTTAAGCCCCTTATCAGCCGGCAATGGATCATCATCAAAGGTAATTGACTAATTGTCTGATATCCACGAGTCATGACGGGCGATAAAGGCCTTTCGTAATGAAGTGACCACAAGTTTGATCTTTCTTTTGGACTTTCCGGGAAATGAAATCCGTATAAAGGCTACGTGAGCGCACTCCTTGAGAGGATTGGCCCAGTAACTTGCACTGGGCACGCAGCAAATTGGTTTCGCCACAAACTTCGGTTCCGGTTCATGGAAGGGAGGAAGTCCGGGGTTGCTTCTGACATTCGTTTACACATTCCCCGAAAGATAAACTTAAGTACAGCGCATTTAAATGCAATTTGTGACAGTTTTCCTTTAGCGCGACTTTCAAGTGACACGCACACAGCAGGGGGCGAATTTACTGGGCGATGGGTGGGTTCAGTAACCAGTGCAGTTAGGCGAGGCAAAGAAGGAGAAGGAGGAACCACCCGGTTTGGAAAAAAGTTAAGGCATACTTGGCACAAAGGAATTTTCCTATAATATTGCTCGCAAATATGCGCAGCAACTACAAAACTGGAGATGGGCCATGGGTCACGACATGCTAGCATGGTGGCCAGCAACTATGTCAAATATTTTAAGTAGATAAATTGATTTCCATAACATTTTTGTTTGAAGAATTAGTAAGCTTTAAAGAGTAACTAAATGTTTAGTCAAAGGTCATCAAAAAATTAAGCTTTGAATGAGCGTAGTTTTCTCTAAACTAACTTCCTTGCAATATATGATTTCACCTATTTAAAATTCAAAAGAAAATCCTTTATCACTTCCATAATAACCAACTTTTCCTGAAGCTAACACGATGCTCACCCACTCCTCCTTGAGTCAGTCCTCCTTGCATGGCATAAATCTGCCTCAATCCAGGAAAAATACGCAAATCCTTGAAGCATACTCAAAGGAGCCGATTCTCGATAAACTTTTATTATATTTTTTTTTGCCTTCCTTTGGCTGGATCGTCACTTCAGACAACATCTGGCATATGGAAAAGGGAAACTTGGGAACTTCTGCTATCTCCTGGGCTCATGCATTTGTCAAGGGAAATGAGATAAGAAGGAGGAGGAGCATGAATGGCTTCCCCACTCTTGCCAGGACGTGCGTCAAAACTTTTGGTAGGCGAGGCCTCTTAAATTGATTTTAAAATAATGAATGAGCCCAATGCCTGACGCTCATCAATTTTGGCACTTGCTCATCGTCTGTTGCCCCCTTTTCAACCATCATTGCTGCAATGACTAATGACAAAGTTGCTCCTTTGTTTCCTTTATTCGTTACGGCTTTTTATTGGATCCGCTCCTCACAAGAAGCTGACGTAGTAGGCTCCCCGGGCAAAGGGTGAGGACTGTTGGGTCTCTAGGAAATATATTCCTGTAACAGCTTCTTTCTGGCCCATTTTGTGGGTGGACCAACGACATTTGGAGGCACCTAGAGTTTCCACGGATCCACAAAGGGCACTAAGGAAGTCATTCTCTGGGGACCACATCTCTGCAAGCAGCTCAAAGGATCGCTCATGCGAACAGGAGTCTGTGGAGCAGCCTGGCTGTGTTTCGCCTCCATTCGGATAGTAGTCCACATGACCCAGTTGCTCCCATGTGCCCTCACCTCCAGCATTTGTGTGCACTACTTCTACGAACTCTGCATCGGCTGAGGATAACTTATGCTCTAGATCTTCTCCAGATGAGGGATCAAGGGCTGTTAGTTGGGTTAACTGACGACCTAAGTCCTGCTGCACCTTGGCAGCCACTCCGCCTGCCAAATGGGCACCCTCAGCGAAACCTACTAGGAGAATGCGATCGAGTGGCACATCGAAATTTTCGTTCAGGAGAATCACTAAGCTAGCCACGCTATTGATAATTTCTGTTTCGTTGTTAGCTTCCGATAGATCCACACTGACTATATTGCTATCCTGCAGCTGAAGTCGGGCAGTAACCACAGCAGAGATCTCCGGCGAAGAGCTGCCTCCCAGCCAGCGGGGAATGGTTAAGCTAAAGAGTACAAAGATCACTTATTAGAGGGATTACGCACTCAATAGTAGTGATGACTCACACAGTGGGATCCGCGGCGTAGAATGAGCTACGCACCAGAGCCTCCACCTCGGCCTCGATACGTTGGGGATCTTCCTGGATGCGACGTGTGTTCAGGAGGAATCCAGGCTCTCCATAAACTGGATTTAGATAAGGTTTAAGTAATGATTAAACATTTTATTATATTAGGGAACTTACCTGCCGCAAGTGTGAGGGTCAAAAACAAAACTAGAAGTTGTCCCGTCTGCATTTTTAATGTAACTGAAGTCAGTTAGGAAGCCTTTTGCCTAGGCATTCCTCAAAAAGCTCGATAAGATTGCGATTAGGAGTCTCGTTTTATGGCAATTTGATAAGCGATCCCTTATCGTTGGTCATCCACGATCGCTGATGGATTGCATGCCATCAGCCGCTAAAAATTTGAAACCACTTGGCCACTGATTTTCACACGTTCATCGGATTTCGTTCGTATTTCTCTCACGCTGAAATTGTTGTTTATGGCTCTTGTAGATTGTCAAATTAATCAGCGGCAACAGCAGCGTTGCATAGCAAGTGTCGGCACTCCCCGTGTGCCCTCCACTTCATCCGTTTCGATTGCAGCTGCATTTGCATGGCAGACAAATTGCATTTAATTGCCTGACAGCCTCAAGAGTCGAGGGCCACCGGCACTTCGAGTGGGTTGGTGCTGGGGTTTGGAAAATGTGTAGCAAACTTCACGCCACTCCCCAATATAGTGACTCCTCCTCTACAACCACCACCCCCCAGAGCAGTCGTGCCTCCAACATCACTGTCAGAAGGCAAAACAATGAAATTGGCAAATTAAACTGGAAGTGCAATGCTATGGCTTCACTGAGAGGAAATGTTAGAGGTTTTAGAGCTATTTTTAACAAATTTTAAATATAAATAAATCTTAGTTGACAAATTTAAGTTATTTTTACCTTAAGATACCTTTCAGTAAGCAGAGATTTCTATGGCTCCATTGTGTTTCTGGGAAGACCTTCAGGGACTTCTTTTCCTGCAGTGCTGGAAAGCAGCACCTGGGCCTGCTTTGATTAGGCTTCTGTTATGGAAAGGGAGTCATAATCTGATGGATGCAACAGCTGCAGATGACCTCGCCATGCACAGAAATCTGACACAGTATCCTTGGGCAGCTTTGGTATTCGGACAAACTGGAGCGGAAACAAGAACACTCCGTACTTTCATGGATGGCTCTTGTTTTCGGGGCTCCACCCAAAACGGTTTTGCGGATAAATCGCTTGCGAAATTGTTGTGTCAAGTGCAGGCGGTGTATCCTAAACCCACTCCTTGGATTCCGATGGGGAACAACAATTAACCGAAAGATCCGGGAACACTTCTTGCCGGCTCAATGGGCACGTCACGGGCTTTCGCTAGATTTATGGCCAAGGAAGCGTTATTAAACGATGCCTGTGCCGATGGCGGCCATTTATAACATTGTTGTAACCGGGACAAAAGGATGGGGAATGGATGGTTGCCAGGGTTAGCAACTTGTATTAGCATAAATAGAACAGCATGCGGCACGTAACACTTTACAAGCCCAATATAAGGGAGCGCATTCAATATAGGAACAGTAGATTTCCCTACTGTTCAGCTTTGGGGTCAAAAGAGAAAGTCAATATGCCAGGCAGGCTAACTTTCAAGTGGTTGGCTAGAGTGCAGCGCGGAGGGTGGCTGCTGCTCGAGTCAATATAATAAATTACTCTGATAGCTTCAAGAAGTTGCAAAGGTTCTGTTCAATACTCCTCCTTCTCCTCCTCCAGAATCCAAAGGGCGTGTGAAAGAAGCAATCAGCCATGGAGAGAGTGTGTGTGTGTGTTTGGGGGGCCAGTGAGAGATGATGTGCCAGACAAAAGGCAAACAAAGACATTCCAAGAGGAGCTAGGGGTAGGGGGGGTGTGTGTGAACTGGGGGTTTGGGGACTTTGGGTGGGGCTGGTCTATCAGCAACTTCACATGCAGCATCCAAGTGAAAATCACACATGATGCGTCGCCATTTCTCATAAAAATTTCATTACATTGGCCGAAATGTGTGGCAAGTTTAATATCAGAGAATTTCATTCAACACATTGTTAAGGTTGCAGCACATAAAGAAAAAGATACCCTTAACGTACTTTATCAGCCCTTGGCACGCCCCGAAAACAATTAGAACTGTGATAAACGAGCTCCTAACTTAAGTTGCCCATTCAGTCAGCGAGGTGAACTTCTTTATTACCAAACATTTCGCTACAAAGAAAACAGCAGACAAGTCTATTTTCTTTACTTTTTAGGAGAAGATATTAATTTAACTTGGTTGGGATAAACTTTTTATATTCTTCTTATTGTTATTGGTTAAGCTATTTGAGTAGATTGGTCTAGGGCTGAGTAACATTTTGTAGAATTATTTTACAAAGCTTTAATGTTTTATTTTTATTGCAGTTAGAATGTCTGTTGTTTATGCTAATAATATAAGAAATCATTATCATTTGAGAAATCTAAGAATTGTAGGGTTTCTTTAAGGTAAATTTAACACCCAAAGATCTCTCTAACAACCTTCAGCCAGATTAAAACACGTATTAGATATATTGTATTAATTGTCTTAACTAAGTCGCATAATAAAATGTGCTGAAGTGTACATAAATGAAATCTTTTGCGTCATTACGACGGCAGCCATCTTTTACGAAGCCTCCTTCGAAGTATCCTGCATTAGTTTATGTGTTATTTGCCCCCATATGGCTGTGGGCCTGGACGGCAGGAGGAGGATGGTATGTGTGTGCCCCCGCATAAATCAGAGGCAGTCCTGCATGACCGTGTCCTCGGCCCTGTGTTGTTACAAGTCTCAAGTAAAACGAATTCGTGATTAAAGTCCTTTTACTTTCAGAAGCAGAACAAGAAACAGGAAACAGGACTGTAGGCAAAAGGGAGCTGGCCAGAGACGAGGACGTAATTAAGTAGACGGGAGCTGGTTACGCCCAGAGAGGGGTGTGGCAATGCAAACGGAACAAAAATGTTGCATCTCCTTGAAGGATCAACATCTGATGCCAAGGACACTGTGACACAAAGGGGAACCCTCTTTAGTTACGCGAACCAATTCCATTTAAATTAAGAGCACCCCCAAAAAGAAAGGAGCAGCATCTTACGCGATTCCCGTCCTCGCGTAATGTTTGCCTGTCCTGCTCCAGCTGGAATCTACCACTCAGGACTGCTGCAACTCCTCCTCCTCCTATTGCTCGCTTTTAGCCATTTCCGGCCAACTCATGGAGAGGTCTTCACGCTCGGCTACCTCACAGCCTCGCAACGGCGACCGGGAAACCTGGACTACAATCGACCCGGTCTTACCATCTCGGGCGCCATATCGCTGGCGGTGGAGGAGGTGAATGCAGGACGACTCCGGGATCGTGGCCATTCACTTCAGTTCGTCGTGGCCGAGACTTATGGCGAGGAGGTGGTCAGCATCCGGCAAACGGCCGCACTGTGGACTCAGCAGGTGGCCGCCTACATTGGCCCTCAGGAAACTTGTGTTCACGAAGGTCGCATGGCAGCCGCCTTCAACCTGCCCATGATATCTTATGTAACTATGGAAACCCTTTGTATTTGCAATACTTATTAATAAGTAATCTCTTTTAGTACTGCACCCACCGGGATCCATCGAACAAGGCTGATTTCCCCACCTTTGCTAGAACAAGACCGCCGGACACGCAGATATCCAAGTCCGTGGTGACTCTATTGTTGGCCTTTAACTGGACGCAAGTGAGTTTTCTGTACTTGGACGACGCCAGTGGTCAATATCAACCTGTGGCCGAGACCATCTTGAGTACGCTAAGTGAAGCTGGAGTCAGTATCAGGGATATTCGCACATGGAATACCATCTACCATCATGGGTTTATGGACAATCCCTTTGAGGCGCTAGTGGAGCAGACTTATGCCAACACGAGGAGTAAGTATGGTCGTAAATAGGAATTCCATGAATGCTAATCACATTAAATATCCTTAATAGTCTACCTAATTCTGGGCCACTACTATGAGCACGTTGGCCTAATGATTAGCCTTCAAAGGAGGGGACTACTTTCGAAGGGTGACTACTTCGTAGTGGGCATCGATATCGAACAGTATGATCCCGCCAAGCCGGAAAAGTATCTGCGTGGTCTTCTTATGGAGGATGTGGAGTCGATAGCCGTGCAGGCTTTTCAGTCCTATCTGGCCATTGTTCCCACTGCGTCCGTCTCCTTTGCCACTTTTGCCAATGAGGTTTGTCCGCTGACAGGTTCTGACAGTGATGTGATTGATGCGCTGCATCCGCCTTCAGCCTCATCTCATAATTGTCAGGCCTTTCGCCACATTGACCACACATTCTGACCCTCATTTCGGTTTGTTTTTCAGGTCAACAAATACATGGAGCGACCGCCATTCAATTTCCCCAATCCTCTGGGTCCCTTTGGTGGTGTAAAGCAGGTTCGTCCCGATGAAACCTAAGCCGAAAACATTGACTGACCTCCAACCTCATCCCTACTTTTGTAGATAAGCGCTGAGGCTGCGTATCTCTATGATGCCGTGCATCTCTATGCCAAGGCCTTGATGGAAGTTCTGGATTCGGGCGGAAGACCAAGGAACGGCAGCGCCATTGTGGCGGCCATCAAGGGCTCGCGATATCGCAGCGCCATGGGGTGGGTTATGGCCCATTTGACAGTTAATCCGGTTGGAGCAATCGCTAACATACATTTTATTTTTAGCTATCACGTCTACATCGATGAGAATGGCGATGCGGCTGGAAATTATACAGTATTAGCCAGAGGACAAGTACGGAATGGTCGGAATCAGACGGTGCTGGGTCTGCGACCCGTGGGAACCTTCATCCATCGGAACAGCAGCTTCAGTAGCATCAGCAAGGCGTTGCCCGTAAGTAAATCCCAGTTTTTTTTCACATACTGCTCTTGTAACTTGCTCTCTGCCACTCCTCCAAAATCGCTTGGCCCGCCCAGCACCAGGTAAGCGCTTCTGCCTGGTTCCACTAATCGTACACACACACACCTTGCTGTTTGCCCCCGGTATTGCCTTTTAATCCTTTTCCTCTCTTTCTTCGCTTTCCCGCAGGATCTCAAATTGTTTAGTCCCATTGACTGGGTGGGTGGTTCGCGACCAGCAGCTGCTCCACGTTGCGGATTTGGTGGCGAGAAGTGCGTTAGTGAGTATGGAATTTTACCAGCAAACTCCATGGGTTAACCCACCTCTTTTTTTAAACCGCAGATTACACTGGCGAAATTTCGGCGGCCATTGCAGGAGGAGCTCTATTGCTGCTCAGCTTGGTTTCCTTGGTCTTGTACCGCAACTGGCGTTATGAGCAGGAACTGGACAGTTTGCTGTGGAAGATCGACTTTCGCGAAGTGCAGATTCATGAGAACGAAAGGGAACAGCAAAGTCAAAAGCAGACGCGCGTAAGTCCCAGTATCTGTCATCTTACCAAGATGGCAGTGACGTCTAGCCTAATGGCAATGTGTCCTGACACAACACTAGGAAAAATATTGGCCTTAAAGTTGGAGTTCTTAAATGGTTTACTATAAACATAGACCATTACCTTATGTTAACCTTTTTAAAAATAGAAAGTTACTCTGTCATGATAAAAGTGATTTTTGTAAGAATTAGATTAAGATTCTATCATACATTTCGAGTGTATGAAGGAAAACGGAGACCATGTCATTCGTTTTAGTTTATTATATGAAAACCTGTCAGAAGTCCAGGCAAACTCTCTCATATTCCTACAGTTAAAGACTCTTCTCCCGCCATTGCATGTCTGACAAACAGCACTTGCTAAATCACTTGCCGCGTCGTCTTCCTCCGCAGTCCACCCATCCATTGATCCGCACCAGCCAGGTGAGCCTGAGTTCCAACCCAGACGCCGACTTCCGCTACACGACCATCTTCACGCCAATCGGACTATACAAAGGTCAGCTTTATGCCATCAAAAAGGTGCGAAAGAAAAGCGTTGACATTACACGCGAGATGAAAAAGGAGCTCAAGCTGGTAAGTCATATAGTTATAGTAAAACCTTATCCTTTTGACATGATCGAATCCGTTCCAGCTTCGAGATGCCAGACACGACAATATATGCGCCTTTATTGGCGCCTGCACGGATCCACCCAACATTTGCATCATCAGCGAATACTGCACCCGTGGCAGTCTTAAGGTCAGTCGGTCAGAGAGTCTCCTGAAAGACCCAAAGCGACCCTTCCATTCCCACCTCCCACTTCCTTCCCATTGCAGGACATACTGGAGAACGAGGACGTCAAGCTGGACAACATGTTCATTGCCTCCATGGTGGCAGACATTATACGCGTGAGTGCTGTAACATTATACTAATGGCCGGCCCGCCCACTGACCTCTTTCCCCATCTCGGTAGGGCGTCATCTATTTGCACGACTCGCCCATTCGATTCCATGGCGCTCTGTGCACTTCCAATTGCCTGGTGGACTCCCGATGGGTGGTCAAACTAACGGACTTTGGCCTCTTTGCCTTCAAACAGGGCATCGAAGATAGCTCAACGGATATGCAACACATGTCGGCCAAGTGTCAGAGTGAGTACTCATTCGAAAATCTTGTTTTTGAATCTTTTAAATACTATTTTTGGTTTCAGAACTACTCTATCGAGCTCCGGAGCTGCTGAGACAGGGTCCATCCTCGCTGGTCATGGGCACACAGCGCGGAGATGCCTACTCCTTTGGCATCCTACTCTATGAGATGCATGTCCGTCGTGGACCCTTTGGGGAAACGGGTTTAACGAACATGCAGTGCCTGCAGAAGGTTCTCCAGCCTCAGGATCAACAGCATCCTTACAGACCTTCTCTGCAACCACTGGAAACAGCCTTCGACTGCGTCAGCGAGTGCCTGAGGGAGTGCTGGGCTGAGAGACCAGAGGATCGTCCAGATTTCAAAACCATCCGTACCAAACTGCGACCGCTGCGAAAAGGAATGCGGCCTAACATTTTCGATAACATGATGGCTATGATGGAGAAGTATGCCAATAATCTGGAGGCACTCGTTGACGATCGCACGGATCAGCTGCAGGAAGAGAAAAAGAAAACGGATGCCCTGCTTCATGAGATGCTACCGCGTTGTGTGGCTGATCAGTTGAAGAAAGGTCACAAGGTGGACCCTGAGCACTACGAACAGGTCAGCATCTACTTCAGTGACATTGTGGGCTTCACAGCAATGTCCGCCGAGTGCACACCATTGCAAGTAGTGGATTTCCTAAACGATCTGTACACCTGCTTTGACTCCATCATCGGCCACTATGATGTCTATAAAGTAGAAACTATCGGCGATGCATACATGGTGGTCTCTGGACTCCCGCTGCGCAATGGTGACCTGCATGCAGCGGAAATAGCCACCATGTCGTTGCATCTACTTAGTGCCGTCTCCGAGTTTAAGATCCGCCACAGGCCTACAAATCGCTTGCTCCTGCGGATCGGCATTCACTCGGGACCCGTTTGCGCCGGAGTCGTGGGCCTAAAAATGCCTCGTTACTGTCTTTTCGGGGACACTGTAAATACAGCTTCACGCATGGAGTCCAGTGGTGTTCCCCTGAAGATCCACTGCAGCTGGCAGTGCCGGCAGTTGTTGGAGAGATTGGGTGGCTATCACTTCCAAGAGCGAGGCGTCATCGCCATGAAGGGCAAGGGTGACCAACGCACCTACTGGCTGTTGGGTGAAGATGAGGAGGCACGCACTCGGCGAACCTATGAACGATCCCAGAGGCGGGGATCAAGGGCACTCAACAAGTTCATTCAAGGCACCATCAAGCAGGCCCAGGATCAGGCCAACGAGTACGGGATACGTTCCTCGCTTAAACAAAAGAATCTGCCGCGAAACTCACTGACCCGTTCATCCAGTCTTGAATCGCCCAAGAAGCTGAGATTTGCCGCTGGCAGTCTCCTGGAGCATCATCGCTATCACAGGTTTGATATCTCAGCAATCTAATTAAGAATCCTTCAATGTTCAAAATCTTATTGTCTTTCAGTGACGAAGCCTTACTAGAAGTGGACTCCTACACGGGACTGCGACGTTCTTCGGGAGGATCCACACAATCTCGGTACGAGGAGACGACCCTTTCGCTGACTCTCTCCTGCCAAAGTATTGAGGTCGTGGGTGGCCTACACAATAAAAGGCGTCCCTCCTCATATCCCACTGCCAATACGCCGCTGCTGATGAACCATGTGGAGGTCTGAAGCGGCTATCTTAGTACTTATTAAACCCAACTACAGGGATCTTAGTGGAATTTGTGTTCAGTATGTTTAGCCGAAGTATTTGTATCGCTTTTAGTGTCGTACCAAGATCCGCAAATCCTTGGGATCTGTAAATGCAATTGTGGTAAACTATAGCATCAGCATATTGTGAGAGTGATTATAAATCTAGTCGTTGTTTAAACACATTCATGCGGTAACCTAAATCAAACTAAAATAGTCAATAACCTAAACTAAAGTATATGAATAAAAATATAAAGATTAAAAGCCTATGTCATGGTATCGGCTAGGATTGGCCAAGGACCTGTTTATTATGTACTATGCTGCAATTAGATTTTGTTTGAATTGCTGTGTCTTGGAGACAGTTGCCTTTATTATTGTATAATAATTGTATTCATTTGACAAACTTAACGATTTCTTTATATAACTTTAGTTTAAAACCGATTTGTGCATTTCTCTAGGCATTATAAATACAGTATTTGATTCGCCGTTCATCGTCATATATATATATATATATATATATGTATATGTATTTGTGTATCTGTGAACCATTTTTTATAATTTTTTCAAAGCCAGCTTGCAAAAACGTTTCAAAGGTCCATTAGATTGTTTTCGATATTCTAGGAAAGTTTGTAAATAATTTTACATTCTTATATGTTTATAATTTGAATTGTGTTTTCTGTTTTTTGTTTTTTTTTTTCTTTATGATAAGCCACAAGCTTTAAAGCACACTTTAATGCAATTTGTTTAGTTTAGATTAAATTTTGTCTGTGATTTTTGTTAATGTGTAAAAGTCCGCTCCATATTGCTTGTCGTCGTATCGAGTTTCATTTTTGTGTGTGTTTTTTTTTGTGGAAGAAAGAGGGTGGGGGTGAGCTAATAAACTTTGTTTATATATATTCAATGCTACACAATGCAACAATTCTAAATAACAATCTCAAATCTCATATGTCATTACTATATCAACTAGGTATGAATGTATATAACGCATCTCTCTGGGGTTTCCCCCATTAGTTTTTCTTGGTTTTTGTTTTTGTTTTGTTTCTCTATCAAAATATTTGCAACAACAATGGATATAATCAAAAATACGCAATTGTACAATTCTCAATTATTGTTCGACTGTCAACACAATCGCTATGCCCGCCAACTTTCGGTACAAAACTAACAAATGGCCATTACCGTGGGCTGGCCAAAGGGGTGTATCAGTCCTGACAAGTGGACCGACAACAAATCTGCTCGTATAAATAAATACACTATATATAATATACAGTAAATATGTGTGTATATGTATATGTCGGTATTTCTTAAATGCGTCTCTGAAAAATAATCTCTCAACATTTGATTTTTCTTTGATTCAGGCTGCACTCCAAGGGCGAGTGCCCCGAATGCGGTTTAAAAATTGATCAACAACTTTTTTTTTTAGCCAAAGCCGGAAACAAAGAATGCTTCAGCCCTAGCGTCTAACAAGAGTAAGCTACTCGAAGACCTGTCGAATCCCAACTTGGGCATACGTAGTCCTCTTTCAAACAAATCAGCAGGTAACGCGCGCATTTTGCCAAAGGGTGCCAAGTTGCTTAAGGATTACAGATTAGATGCAGTGGGTGCCAATGCAACTTGCTTTAGAAAAAACCTCCTCGCCTTTTGACGACATCCTCAGGCCTTCATCTTGGCTTCTTTACCAGACTGGTGGATCTGTGGAGCAGGATATTGTTTAACTAAGGACTATAAGAATTTAAGAACAGACCTTTTCACGCCATGACGTGGACTGGCGGGTGGAGTGTGGCAGGGTGAGGGTGGAGCCGAGCCTCCCGAGGAACCCCTTGACGAGGATATAGATAGTGTTGAGGCCCTTGGTGCCGAGCACCCCAGGTATATAGCCGATCCTTTATCGGCATCCCGCAAATCCACTCGAGACCCGTGGACGGAGGAAGGAACCGAGCCTGTAAGTGGTTAAGGAATTACTACTCATTGTTTTCAGAAATGATTATCTTCCAAATTCTCTAAAGATTCCCTTAAAACTACAGCTTCCACTCACCCGTATATGCATGCAGACCAGCAGGACTACTCCGTGGTCTTACTCCAAATCCACTGACCGTACTGGCACTCCGCTGCAGCTGGGCAGAACTGTTTCCTTCCCTGGCCGCGGACTCCCTCCGACTACCGGCGCTGCTCACCCGAGGCGCATCTCTGGAGGAGTTTCCTGGCCGGGGAGATCGTTGACTCCTGCCCAGCTGCTGCTGGCGCTGTTCCTGCTCACGGCGAGCATCTTCGAAGGCGGCAGCATACTCGGCCGCCTCACGGGATGTGGTGGGCGGCTGTTCCAGGACGATCTCATCCTCCGGTATACGCTCATTGCCCACCGAACGACGAGCAATGGGCAGCGGTGAGTTTTTTGGTGATGTTGGGCAGGATTGGGCGGCGGCACTGCTCACGCTGAGCGAACTGGACGAGGCATTGGCATTGGAGGACTGGGCACGCAGACGTGAGTGGGTGGAGGCGTTGGAGGGGCGACGTCGAAACAAGCCTTTTGTGGGGTCCATATTGCAGACGCCTGAACGGAAATAAAAATGTATGACTTGTTAATTTATTTGATTTGATGCATAGATCTAAAGAGCTTCAAGCCTTTAATATATAAATATATTTAATATTACTTTTACTTATATACTTTCAAAGATAAAATATAGAAGATTTGCAGAAGATGATCATTTTATTGAGGATAACTATGATTTCTTAAGGTTGGCTTGGGTCTTCGAAGCGGAGTTCAGTTGACGGCGCCTCTTGACTTTTGTGGACTTGTCGTTATCTTTTGGCTTTGTGCAGGCCTTGATAGTACAGTACCGATCTTCATCATCGTCCGAGTCCAAATTCTTAGCAAACCAGCCTTTGTTGTTATCCGCATCATAGAGACGGACATTAGGCATAAGATCCACGCCAACACTGAAATCCAGCTGTGGCTTTTCGTTAAGTTTCTTTTTCGGCTTGTCAAAGGTGCTGCTCCTCCATTTTTCCACCGCAAAGCTCAAAGTATAGGCCACGTTTTTCCTAATACCACCCCAGCCCTCACCCTCATCATCTTCTTCCTTAGCCTTATCTAAATCCTCGCTCGCACCTGTAGGACATTTTTCGCCGCGGGAACAATTGCCCTCGCAGATGTCGCGGTTCTGCAAGAGCTCCTGGTAGTTATCCAGCGCAGTTGCCACTTTGGTGCGATCCAGTTGCTCCAACGCCGAGGATGGAAAACGTTCCCTCAGCCGGCGACGTTCTTCGGGCAGCTTAAACTGCTCAAATTCCTGCAATTGGTTCTGGAAACCAGTATTGGGATTGGCCACGGCGCGACCAGCGCGAACTACTTTGAGCGCCTCCTTCCAATTTAAGTGGGTGGCCGTCATGATGTAGGCAACAGCCACGGTCACCGAGCGCGACATCCCCGCTAGGCAGTGGATGAGCACGTTGCCTTCGCGTAGGCGGGCAGCGTGTATAAAATCGTTGCAGACGGAGAAGTACTGGGAGAGATTCTGATCCGGCGTATCTGAGGCCATCACGCACAAGTAGTGTTTGTCCTAGGATATGGATAGGAAGGTCAAATGGAACATCATCGGATGAAGGCCAGTGGTTACTTACCGGTAGCAGACGACGCGGACTGTCATGTATGGCGATGATGTGCGAGATCTTGAACCTTTCCAGTTGAGCGTGATCCTTGGAGTCGCGGTAGTTGCCCACATAAAGTCCCGGCAAGACCTGTAAAAGAACAGAAAAACACCATATGGTTGAGGGATTAGGCTATGTCAGCTTTGGGTTTACCTCTCCCATATGCCAGTTCATTATGGAGCTATCTGATCGCAATGTAATATTGTTGTGTGACTACAATTTATATGAAAACATGAAAATGTAACGGCTTTCGTGCATGTTGTTTAGTTTTTGTTGCCTTTGACAAGTTGCCGTGACAACAATCGTAGATTCTGATTGGAAAGTTGGTACCAGAGTACCAATTCCTCCTCACTGCGGAACTAGTTGGTTTATCGATAATTAATCATCGATCTATACAACAGTACTGCCAGTGCAGTCTAGCTAAACTAACAGAAACTTAAAGCTTTGGCAAGACGAAGTTTAAATGCCGTTTAAGTTATTATTACACAAAATTTGAAAAGTTAAACATAAAGAATATTTAAAATTGTTTATAATTAGATATTTAAAGACTAGTTATCCATTTTATGCAGGTTTTTTAATACTGCTTATATCTTAACTGAAATATTTTAGGATACGCCTATGCCTAGCCATTTGAAACCCGAAACTACTTAAATTATGGCTGCTTAAGTTTCGTGCAGGACCTTGAAAAGTGTTGTCATTGGCTTCCGTATGTATACTTTTCAACCATAAATCTCGTCCTTGTTCTTACCTTGTTCATGCCATTCCCCATGTTTCTTCATTTAAAAGTTGCGGCTCACTTCCTCAATTGTCAAACAACGAATTGGCCCAAAAGCAGTGCTGAAAGGATAAGAAGCAGAGGAAGAGAATCCTTTATTTGACAAGTTCAGGGCGCAAAATTGCCGGCGAAGGCCAAGAGGAAATGGAAATGCAAGAGGTTTGGGAGGCAGCTAAATGCTAAATGCTTTTGTTGTTGCGGGCCATGATGAAAGTGCAAGTGGCAAATGTTGCAAGCTGTTGCCACTGCCATGGCCGGGACATAATGGATGTCTTTTGTCGCCGCCTTCGTCGCGGAAGTAAACAGGCCTTGACGCTGGCTCGCCTGCATCTCATTAGTGAGACAACCAGCCATACAGACAGACAGACAGATAGTTTGTCCTGGTATTGGGGGCTAGGATTTTGATTCGGATTGGGGCCAAAATGCCAAAGGCTAAACGACACCACCAACTGGCCTACCTGTTCGGCCCCCAAAAGTAGGCAAGGTTAGGTGCCGGGTCCTTGCAACAGTTGGTTGGGCCCGTCCTGCCTACCATGTCTTACTCTCCTTTTACTCTTCTCAAACCCCGCATTTTAGGACAATGGCAAAGGCCTCATCACAAAGTCAAGACGTGGGCAGCCCACCTCGGGTTGTGTAACACAGTTGGTTCTGAACACCGCGAGCCCCATCCTTTGGGTGCACTTGGAATCCGACACATTTGCATAAGTTGTCTCGCGTTGAGGCAATGGGCAAAGTGTCGCTTTGTTGTAATTTCATTCCCGGCACGTTGTCGTCGCAGCCACGGGCATTAAATTGACTGACATACTCGAGAGTAGTAGGAGCAGATAAGGCACGTGTGTGTACCGCGCCAGCAGAAGCAGCTGTCATTTACCAGTCAGCTTGACTTGGCCCGCCTCATCCTCTTCCGGACCGGGGAAATTACGAAATTAGAGCAGTCAATCTAGCCTCTTCATCCCCTCAAAGGTATCAGAGGCAATTGATCAGCCAAAATTGCTGCTTAGCAGCCTTTGGACAGCGGCGACATGGACTTCAAGTGCATCCAATCAGCATCACAGTGCCTATAAATAGTCTGCGCCCACTTCTGTTCGGTCCGAGTTGAAGGAATCAGCCCCAGAGCCGCAATTCAATTCAATTGATGTGTCACTTCGCTCATCTCTGCCTCCGTGTTCCGCCCTACGGTTCCGCACGGATGGAGCATATCGTGTCCTTCGTATTTCTGGGATTAGGTTTGGGATTAAAAGGGCTTTGCTGCACTCAGAAAATTGTCTTAAATTATGATAGTTTTTTCTTTTTGACTGAATAAATATTATAAAAAATGTATTCTCTTAACTTCTTTAAGAATTTGACATTAGTAGGGACTTCAAATCAAGGATATAAAACTCTATCATAAGACAGAAGTCTACCAATTGATATACATTACAAATTTCCTGTGTGTGTGTTTGGGGAAAATGAAAACCGGAACAGCCTTGCTTGTGCGCCTGTGACGTCCTTGTGTCAGTGGAAGTGTGTTGGTTTAGCCGTTGGCCAAATATTTTAGGGGCCATGATTGAATTCATCGACGAACTTCTAATGAAATCGCATTGTGGTGGTTAGGGTCCTGCCCATTTTACAGCCATGCATTTCCGGGCCGTTTGCCAAGGGGATTTCTTTTTTTTTTTTGCAACCAAAGAAAAACTAAAGTAAAAAGTGTTGCATGCCCCGAGGCGCAGACACTGAGGGAAACGAAATTTATGGAAAGCTTTAATCAAATTAAATCGTTCCCCGCTCAACTGCTCTTCCTGGCCAGGATTTCGATTCGCTGCCAAGTTTTTCACTTGGGTTTTTCCCCGTAATGGCGTTAGTTTTTCCACGAATGTTTTTCCATTATCGTTCCCCTTCAATCGGCTTTTAATTCGGGGTTTTTTTCTTTTACGTACCCAATGTCATTTGAAAGGGGGGAGAGAGGGCGTTTGGTGTATATATTGTATGCATATAAATTAGCCGGAGTCGGCCTTGTACCATCGCCCATCTCGTGAGTCGCCCCCTACGGCTGGCAGTCAATTATATCGTTTAGACATTCTACATGAGCAATAAAATACATGCCACAACGGCACCAAAAGCCGCACCTACCAGGACGGGATGGGATTGGGAGGACTGGTGACGCTTTATGACTCCATCGCCTGGTGGGCTTGGTGAGTCAATGGCGATATGGGATATGGCTGTAGGGAACCCCGGTGGCAGGGACACCAATGGGTCCCAATTGCTCAGTGACTGTGAAAAATGTGAGTTTTTTGCCATCGAGCTTTGTTTGTTATAAATGTTTCGGGCATGAAAAGGACAAACACGCCGAGGCCTATAAACATACAGTTTAACCTCTGTAGGATGAACTTTAGATAGTAAATATAGTTTTAATATATTTCTTTTACAAGCTTTAATAGTTATTTTTCACAAACTATTGTAAAAGTCAAATTACGTATATATGTATCTTATTTCTATGTCTAATCGTCACGTCTCTTTTATTTCAATTTTCAACCAAGAATAAATACAATCGAAATATGCTATCCATCCAATGATCTTGTCTAAGCTTAACCTCGCTTCATGGGTTATCAGAATCATATCGATAGTTAAGGTGACCATCTTACTTCAAGCCTTTTACATTATCAAAGTAAGATTTAACCCTTGCTAAGGAATATATAAACATTCCATATAAGTTTCTTAATTTTTGACAATATGACAGTTTGTAATATAGAAACATTTTTCTACTTTTTAAAATATCCTTTTCAATCCAATTTCCACTGTACTATAAATATATCAAAATAGCGATTATGTTTTGCTTCCTTTGCTGCCAGGCAGGCAGTTTTAAATAAATTCGAAGGCCTACACCCTCTCTCACACATGGGAAATGAAGGAAGGCTCAGTCATGTTTGCCCCTCTTCACAAGATAGGGACGATGAAGCCAAGCCGGCAGCCAAATAGCGCCGCTTTGTCTACGGATATGTCAATGGACCGACAGCAACCTCCAAGGAGACGGGTCAGCAGTGAGGAGCCGACTAAGCAAAACTTTCTCTCCAGAGGGCACGTGATGCCATAAAATGCTTTATTAACATACAACAGTTCGGGCCAAGATGGGTAAATACAGGGTGAAAAAGAAAGAGGGGGTGGTGTTGTGTTGATTTCATGAGCTTCGAGGATTTCATTGCTCGGAGCAAACATTGTACCGGCTCCTAAGCAAACTTAAAACAAATGCTAGTGCCAGCAGAAACTATTTCCACTAGCCACCGGCTATCTGGACCCCCGAAAATCCCCTCTTACCCCCCTCTTTGAACCACAAACTGTGACAGAGACAAAGTGCTGCCATCGCCGGGGCAATAAAACTGAAATGTGATCGCCTGGCATCACCTACCCGATGATGGCACACATAATCTGAGCCAATCTGGGGACATCAACCTTGATTTCGGAATGCATCCGTTTCCCAAAGAACTCAGGTACTCTGTCTACATTTTCATTTTACCCATTCGGGTCACAGCTAATTAACTGCATTCAGAAGCGAAAGTCCTGCCAAATGGAACCCTCGAAAAATGTTACAATCTCAACTTAATGAACCGTACACAGTGAACGGAACTTGGAAAGTTTTCCACTGCTGACAGAACGCAATTTAAATAAATAATTAGACAGGTGGGAGGAGCGGTCGAATTGCATGACTCAAAATATTAATTTCGTTTTACATATGCAATGAGTGTGGCGTAAAAAGTTTGGCCATGTTTTTAGTGTGCAACAAGGGAAATTAAGCGAAATGAGGCAATCAAATTGGGGGTTGCTCTCGAACGAACTTGCGAAACGGGAATTTTTAAATAAACGGATGTTAAGCTATATGGTATGTGAACCTTTATCCTAACGTTATGTTATGTACTGTGTGGTTTTAATTACTACTATTAATGTATTAACTATTCACATAAGGAATAAGTTAGTTATTTTCAAATTTCATAGCAATTAAAACTGATTTTTAGGATTTTCATAGCTTTGGGATAGCTTTTGATGCGCATAAAATCTAACCAAATTACGAATATATAGAAAAACAAATTTTGTAAATTCTTTTCTTGGTAAAATGTCTCACTTTCATATTAAGCTGGACAAAGGTGCAAAGTATGGACAACATCCTAAAATATAAGTATAAGATATTACCATTGAAAAGATGTTTATAAAGGTAGAAAACTGAAAACTATTCCCAAAATCTCTTTAAATCAAAAGTGAATAAGGGAATAATTTTATTGCCATGGCATCTGCAACTTCTGACTTCCACAGTTTCCTACAGTCACGTTTCGGGGCATTTTCACACCAATTCGACTTTGACGGCCGGCTGACAGTCCACGACCCGCCCAGGCCGCACATTACCCATACGACCCGTGGGGCAAGATTTACATGGAAAACACTTACGCGCTCTTGACACGGGACATATAAAGGTTGAGGACTGTTCGTTAATTCCCCAGTTGCGTGCCCAAAAAAAAAACGCAAAAATAATTACTAGAAAGGGCCACAAATTGTTTCGTATATGCTTAAGGAGGAGTCTAATTTTCGGGACATTTGCATTTAAGGAGTAACAGACGTGGGTCAGTCACCTGACGGAATGATGGCATTCTAGAGCCATAAAGGGAATCGCAGGACTTACGTTAACTTCGGCGCTCCGGTTGCTTTCCTCCTGGTCAATGGAGCTGCCACATGGGAATCTCAACTTCGACTTTGACTCGAGCGCCCGAGAGAGAGAGAGAGGCGGAAAGGAAGTAGAGAAAGTCAAGCGGCAACTCCTGTTATATCACGGTGCCAGCGGCGGCCGCAAAATTTACACACACACACAAAATTTAGATTCGCTTCTCTACCTTTCTGCTTCAGCTTTTCTCTCAGTGTGAACACGAAAAGTAAACTGTGTGACAGTTAAAGCCAAGTTGATTGTATCCCAAACATTTTTCCGTATCGTTTCGCGGCAAAGAGTGTTGTGAAAAATGAAGCACCGCCATAGAGGTGAGAAACGTGAAAAGCGTTTGAGGGTCGAGTAACAATGAAAGCCAGACCGCAAGAAACGCAGCCGTGAAATATGTGTGTGGATAGTAGAAATCAGGAAAAAAAAACGAGCTGCAGCCGCCGCGTGAGTTCCTTTTGCAGAAGGAAGGATTGCGCCAAACGAATCGGCTCGAGCGCTGGTCACAGACTGAGCAGCTGAGCACTGCTGCCACTTCGGACTTGGCTCAAACAGAATGTTAGTGTCTCATACTGCATGGGTAACAAATACCCGCGGGCATGAATGGGAACAAGCCGAGTTTGCGCATTGCACTCCAATGAGCAGCGCGCCAAAATAAAAACTCACTCAAAGTTAGGAGCTCAAAACGAGAGAGAGAGAGTGAGATTGAAGGTTCCTGGCCGCAAAATGCGTAAAAACCTTTGATTCAGTTATATAATTGAGGGGGCGACCGGCCAGGTTTTTTCTTTGTGTGTGGGGTGTTGTTTTTCTTTTCCGTTTTGGGCCCACACCTGTCCGTGGTCAATTAACGGCCGAGTTATAATCATCAAGCTGCCCGCATGGCCATAACCAGGATTTGCCGTTACCTTCTTGAAACGGTTAATTGAGCCAATATTCGATATTAACGGTAATGGAGTACTATTGGGTAGTAGCAGCAGGGACTATGGGAATAAAAGTCTTTAGTATTTCACATATATTTTATAAAATTAAAAAACATTGCAAAGTTTAAGTCTTTTTTTGACAGAGAGCTTTATTTTAAACAACACAACATTTTTTCCATCAGTTTCCGTTCCACAATAACGCGGAATTTCAACTTCTTTGCAACTTAAAAATATTCTTCTGAGAACTAAACTGAAATCTTTCAGAAATTCCAAACCTGTATTACAAAAGGTAAATGCTTGCTAATAAATATGCACAATCTGACTTAACAGAGCCAAGATAGTATTAATATATGTTCTATATACTCTTATAAGGTAAGTAGAGCAGATATCCCATATCATGTCTACTGCAAACAGATACATTCAAAAATGTACATTTTCCAGAACAAAAACTGAACTCTACACCAAACCAAATCAATCGAAAGTTTCAAATTCCAAATATGAAACTCATATTTGTTTTACTTTGCTATGGGAATCGGGGTTTCTACGATGTCAGCATATTTAGCCAGAATAAACACTTGCTTCTCACTGACTCATCCAATGCGATTTGTTTTGACGGCTTACATTTCATTCACGAGGCCATAAAAGGAGCTTATTAAAATGCCAAAGAACTCTATACGGAAAAGCTTGTTGCCCCATCAATTGCAATTCTAAAATATTAATTCAAATATCAAAATCAAAGAGAAGAATCATGTTCAGTGTACTATATATTTTGACCCATTTCAGAAAAAGATACAATTGTTTTCGAACTGAGAATTCTCAGGAAAAACGTCTGAAATGCAACATGATTTTAAGCCGATTCGCATTGCGTTTCGCTTGTGTATCTACATGGGATTTATAACAACAAAAATCGTATCTATATAAACAGATATATACCCAAATATATATGTACAGCGAGATGTGCAATATTTAATTATGAATTATTTCAATTTTATATGCTCTGGCGACGCAGTTGTTCGGCTGAACAACAAGAAAATATTTGGAAAATACATCTAACGGATAAAGATGGGTGGGCGTGCCGCCGCCGCCGGCAGTCCGATTATACACATGATCTTGCATATTCTCTCAGGTCTACAGATATTGAAATTATTTTAAAAATGTTTTTTAGGAAATTCCTAAGAAAGTTCTCAAGATTATTAGTCATTTCTATACATTGATATTTTCCATTTTGCATTGAAAAATTTAACAAAAATTTGAATCTTTAGTAATCCTTTATCCATGCTCCTATTATGCTGACCACAACTGTGCGTTTGGGTCATTTTGGTGTTCTAAGGAAAATGCTTATGGCGTGAGTGACTAATGGCTGCTTAGAAGGTGAAGTAAACAGTTGGCCCAAACAACTGGCCGTAATCAGCTGATCGTTTGGCAATAACAGTTGACTGCAGAAGACTTTCTGTCGCTACTGCACATTGTACTCTATTGTTTATTGTACTTCATTGTTTATTGCAAAAATACAACAACAACAAGAACGTATTGAGAGTGCGGGGGAGCTGTGGCAACAGATCGTTGGTCATTGATCGATTGATTGGCCGCTCAACAAGATTCGTCGTCGTCGTCAGTGGGCGATGACAACTGTTTACGCTGCTGATTTTGCCTTTGCTCTTGCCTTTGGCTTACTTGCTGTTGTTGCTCCTCGACGGCTGTGACGCAGTGGTTGTATGTAGGCGGTACCACTGCACAGAAATAAAAGCAGCTAAATGTCATATTTATAAAAAAAGTTATTGTTTCATGTTGAACCTTATATTATATAGAAACTAGATTGATTTGGAATAGTATTATTATCATTTACGTACCACTGTCTTCTATCTATTTTTTGTATTTATGTAACAAAAGTTTAAGTTTAAGTTATAAAGTTTTATAGTTTAGTAAAATCTACTTATGTTAACTTTGTTTTAAACTAGCTTTCAAATTTAAAAAGTGATTCTCATCCAAAATAACTTGAAATAATATCCCTTTTCTTTCACATATCACTTAAATTTTTCTTTCAGTGTGGCTTACGGTTACAGATTCGAATTCTAGAAGCCATGCGACTGCCGAGGAATGCGTTTTAGAGAGCCGCTCTCCCACTCTCTCGGCCAACTTTCTAGCGAACGTCTATTTATAAGTCTGATGTGTGTGTATCTTGGCCATGGTGATCTTGGTGCAAACACAAAGAGAGAGAACGAGAGAGAGAGTTGAAAAGAGCGGATCGAGAGTGCCGTATCCGTATCCATAAGATAGTATTAAATATTTACCAATTAAGGCCTTAAACCGCCGGAGGAGAGTGTCAGGTAGAAGCCAAGCAAAGCTTACTGAGAGAGGGAGAGTAAGAGCAGAGAGCTTCTGTGAAACCAATTGAGAGCCAAAAGAGAGAGCAACTGACTGATGGCTATGGCCAAATGCTAATGGCTAGCAGCAAATGGCGTTGGCGCTCAGTCGACGAGCAACTTTGGCAGCGTGAGGACGCCCGTGTGGATGCGTGTGGCCCGTTAAGCAACAACAATTTCGAGTGGCAATGTGCAAAAATAAAAAATCTATATATATTTTAAATTGAATATAGAAATCCGAAAACCCACACTCACACTCGCACACACACACACAAACGCAGGGCCGCAGAGAGCGCGAGCGGAAATACTTAAAAAGCTTAAAAAGTGGAAGTAAAATAAAAATTGGCCGTATCGGTGTGCGGCAGCTAGAAAGTGTGGCCAAAAGTGACATCACACTCCGTTCAGCGAAAAAGGAGCAAACGTTTCAGGAACATACGAGAAATCGGAAAACGAAATCGAGCGGTATTCGCACGCGTCGTAGCTCAAGGTGAGCCCGCGCCACCCCTCCTCCTCTCAATCCAACCAAAATTAAACCCCCTCCCCCCTTGCACCCCACTCTGCGTCCAAAAATTAATCTCAACAACTGGCACGACGACAAGTAGTCGCCGACGAAGTCACAGCCAAGTATCAACAAAAGGAAATAAATTAAAATTTGTCGCTACGTAGCGAGACGACGACGACGACGACGACGGATTCGATAGTGGTTAGGCCAGCGAGCGGTACGGTTACGGATACGGATACGGTTAATTCGGCCAGCGGTACACCAATGAAGCCCACTGTGATGGCGGCCAATCAGGCGCAAACTAATCCAGGCGTTGCCGGTGGTAATGGTTCACCCGGTGGACCCGGAGTCAACATACCCGTTAACCGGGAGTACGTCAGCGGTGGCTATGGTTCGCCACAGCAGGCGGCACAGAATACACACTTCCATAACCCTCAAAACGCTTTCGGATCGCCCAGGCAGCAACAGACGCACTTCCAGCACCAGCAGGTTCCTCCAAATCAGCAACAGCAACATTTTCAGGTGAGTGGCCGCCAGACAGTTTGTATGCCGGAGGAGGGTATTGCGGGTAAGGGGGTGGCAGACGAGCGGCGAGAGATCCCAAGGTTGGCGCCTGGCAAGGTCGATTCACCCCGCCTCCTCCTCCTCCTCCAGATCTCCCCCAACCCCAAAAACCTCGATCGCATAGCTGGGACATATTCGTATGAGTGTCATGGTTTTTTTTGTTTTGCTAGCTGTGTGGCAATTCAAGTACAGTGGGGATTCTTAAGAGGGAAATAGAGGTTTAGGTAAATCAATTCAATATAGTTTTAAAAATGAAAACAATAGTAAAGAAGCCTTGACTTAGATTTTCTCACAGATTGTATTAAGTATTTCTTTAGGCAAATTTAGTGGAAAAAACTTGGAGATATCAATCAGTCCATAGGTTAATTTATTCCCTTAAAGAGTGTAATAGTTGTAATATTCAAATTTCTTCTAATGATAGTTTAAAAACGTCTTTATAAGTTCAATTTGTTTATTCTGATCTATCTACGTTTTGCATATATTTAGCAACTATCTTGTATATTAAATATTGACTTTAAACAAATACGAAAGCAAACAGTTCTGCATATATAAAAGGGGTTATTAGGGGTTAAAGATCTCGTTTCTAACTTTAATACTCGCTCTTACCTAACTCCTTGAAATACTCAGTTAATAAAATCATTTTATTAAGATTATTTATTCTACAAAATTTAAATTTTAATTTATATTTCCCATATAAAAACCAACCATGGGATGTCGAAATCTTTACTTTAGTAGCCTGGGCATTTTCCAAATTACATTTTACGCACTGCATTCTTTGTTTGTGGAAAAATTTCCGGGAAAACAATTAAGTTTTATTTATTTTACTGTGCCATGACACAGCGTTTTTTCCATTCGTTTCCATTTTTCCGAGTGAATCCTTGGCAATTTCGCATTGCCTTTTAGCGCTTTGTAAACTGTCTAAATCGCAATAAGAGTACAAAAACAATGGGGGAAAAGTCAGTTTGGTTGCGTAAAGGCAGCTGCCTCCTAAAAGAGGGTGTTCTTGGGGGAAAACAACCCAACCAGCCTGTCCGCCGCATCAGTGTGTCAAGTGTGTGTGCACACTCTGTTGACCTACTGGGCATAAACTTCTAGTATCTGCTGGGGGGATGATGGCTAAGTTTTTTTCCTGGGCTGATGTCGTGTCAAGCTCTCTTCTAGTGGCCAACGCTACGTATGATTAATGCCGCAACGCGTGCGGAATTTTACCAGAAACAAGTAAAGTACAGCTGTTTTTTTTTTTTTTGTATTGTTGCTGTTGTTGTTGCGGCCTAATCTAATGGCCAGCAATCCAAATCTATCACGAACGAATCGTTGAAAATATTTGAAAATTTCTAGAAGAAAACACACACATAAGCTAAATGGACGCCTTCTCGTTCTTTCTATTTTGGCGCCGATTCTCAGTCGAAATATCGCTCTATTCTATTGCCGCCGCTCTTGATTCTTGGCTAAACTTTGTGCTGTGCGTGTCTGTCTGTGTCTTCCGCTGTAGGTGGGCACCGTACAGTAAATACATAATGACACTCCATATGTGAGCAAACATACTACACTATACACTATAGCTGTGGAAGCAAGCCAGTTGTCTAATGGAAAGCGTGGGCGGTTTTTGGTTGCTCAACCTCTTGGCCAACGCGGGGGCCTCAGCAATGCGTTGGTGACGTTGACTATATAAAAACGTCATCACCAGGTTAACATTACAGTGGATATAGGCAGTTAGACATTGGACATTTTAACAGAAAGCTAATAAACTAATATTTTCTGCAATTAAACGCTTAAAATTATATGCAAGAATTTTTAGTTTGGTTTAAGTGATTTGTCAGATTTTTGATATTATTCCATTCAAAGATTTCTTATATATTTTTTTTAATCTCAAGCTAACTCTATAAGTTACTATTTTCTTTCTTGAAGTGTGCTTATGTAAGATAACGAATAAATTATCATTAATTATTGAGAGGTACTGTAAGACAATGATAATTTCAAAAGCAAACACAATTATCTCTCACTGAAAGTAAAAATTTGTAAAAACCCATTCACTCTTTAGAGTGTCCACTGTATCAGGTTTTCTTATACTAGGTACTTACTTTACTTAATTCACTGTTCATATTTCCATGAGTTCATTGGGGTAATTGAGTTGGAAAACAGCGAGAGAGCAGAGCGTCCTTTCGGGAGAGACTCAGAAAGAGTCTCAAGAGTTGCAGAAACTGCGAGAAGTGGCCAGAATGAGCCAGCAGTTACGAGAGTGGGCGACATTCGCTTTAAAAGGCCTTCTCCGACGACGAGTCGCCTCATTCGCATTTAAACAATCGGACGCAGTGCATCACGTCACCGAGCGGAAAAGCAATCAAAGCTATAAAGACAGATAAACTAAAGCGGAATATACACACGTACATACATACATATAATAGAAGTCTAGCACTTGTAGCGAAAATAATTGACGGGCAGTTAGCAGTGAGCAGTGCTCATTGATAAAGTAAACAAATTGAGAAGGCAAAAGGTAAGGTTCCGAGATCGAGATCCGCTCCCCAACAGCTGTTCATTCAGTGCCAATTGACATCACTTGTTTGCCCACACTCGCACCCATTCTATGGGACTCTGACTCATTCTGTTATTTATAAACAATTCGCCCACCGATCCGAACAATTTGCACTACTCTATTGCTACACGGAAAGAACAAATGATGGGAAATTATAGTTAATTGATTTATATATCAATTTAAACCATTTACTCTTACTTCATTATCAAATTAGATCTTGAAACATAGATCTTAAGATAAATTATATGACTCACCAAAGTTTCAAGTTCTTTGTACTTATTACTCTCTTCTTATTCCAGCCGACCTTTGGATTTGAACCGAACATGGACATGGACAACATGTTTCCACGCTCCCACCTGGGCAGAATGCATGATCCCTTTGCCGGCTTCGGCGACTCACGTAAGCGGAGTAGTTTGCATGGTCCCAGTACCCAAGCCCATGCTGATGATGACTTTTCGTCCTATTTCGACGATCCAGACTTTGCTTTCCCACGATTCTCGACATTAGGAAGGCGAGGACGTACCAACAATCATATGGATCACGATGACGACTTCTTTAACCGGCTGCCCTCGGAGTTCCGTCAATATATACCAGATGGTTTTGGAGCCAGACGTGGTCCGGGACCGGCATCAGGCCCTGGTCAAGTTCCCCAGCAGCAGCAGCAGCAGCCGCAACAGCAGCCACAGCCACAATATACACAGCAGCATCCCCAACAGCACTACCAGTATGCTGGACCGCCCCAGCAACAGCAAGTCTACGTGGGATCACCACAGCAACAGGTGCCACAGTCGCCCTCGAAGCGTTTGTGTGATGCTGCCATCCAGACGGAGGATCCTGCCGGCCGCTCAGAGGTGGATTGTGCCCCGCCGAGCAACTTGAACCAGCACGGATTACGAAACACCGTTGACATGGGCGTAAAGAGTGCCGCCGAGCAGGATCAGGGTTTGCGCTCCCACTCCGCCCCACCGCCAGAGCAACAGCAGCAGAATTTGCTCTACCAGCAGCAACAGCAGCAGCCCCAACCAGGAGCACATCACCAACAGTTCGGCACTCAGACCAGTCCACCTGTCCAGGGTCAGCAGTTCAAGACCTACTATGCGCCCCAGCAACAGACTCACCCACAGCAGAAGCAGCCCACCCCGCCGCCAGCACCACAGACTCCTGGTGGCACCTACGTGCGCACCATACCCATCTTTGTTGAGGGTCGCACCGAACCGATCATCAATGCCCACAAGGAGATACCCAACCAGAACGCTCCGCCTAGTGCCCAGGCTCAGGCGCAGGCACAGGCACAGGCTCAGGCTCATTATGCTCCACAGCAACAGCAGCAGAGACCCACGCCACTGAATACTCAGCAGGCTCATCCCGACCAGGAGGTGCCAGTAGAGGGAGCTGCTGGTATACCGCCACAGACGCCACACACACTCAACTCGATAAACAAGATCCAGGATATACAGCGTGACGTACTGGAGCTGATGGGCAAGGTGGAGCAGTTCAAGGGAACGCGCCAGGAGAAGGAATATGCCTACTTGGACGAGATGCTGACCCGCAACCTGCTGAAGCTGGATACGATCGATACAAACGGCAAGGATAGCATCCGCCTAGCACGAAAGGAGGCCATTAAGTAAGTTTACTTTGCTAAAAAGCACCCCTGAGATTGCCTTACTAATCTTTACTTCCTTTTAGATGCATTCAGGCTTCCATAAATGTCCTGGAGGCTAAAGCGGAGGAGAATGCCAGGGTGGCGTCTGGAGAAGCAACTGCAACTGCCACGCCAGCTGAAGCAGTGGAAGCGGGTGCAGTTGCTGCCCCAGAAGTCGCCGGTCAAATTCCGGAACCAGTGACTCCACAGCCACAGGATGCTACGAAAATCCAAGAGCCCATCCCTCTGCCGCCACCACCAAATGCTGCACCCTTAGATGGAGCAGCTGCTACCGAAGCCACAACAACAGAGCCTGCTGCTCCAGGTGAGACGGCTCAGGCCGCCGCCTCGCAGTCTGAGACAACCACAACGACGTCGGAATGATGAACGCAGCGCCTTTACAAGGCGACCGTTTCGAAGCAGCTACGCAAATTAACCAAATTTAAGTGACAACAGGCGGGAGAAAGCGGCGAGTCCCGATCCCAATCCCGACTCATCAAAGGACAGCGACAGACTTGATTATACTGAATTCGAAGTGAATGTGAATTGGATGGTGGATGTGAATGTGAATAAGAGGAGCTGGCGACGAATCTTTGCTAGTATTTCGTAGAAGCACACCCGTACTATCTAAACATGCAAATCTCATCACACATCATAGCACACCCATAAACACACAGCATAGATTATAGGCTAGTAAGGAAATTAATATTGAGAAAAAGTGCCTGCATATAGAATTCGGAAGTTAACAGAACGAAAACGATTTGGCAACCAGAGATTACTCCAGTAACTCAGTTGGCCTTTAATTAAAAGAGCTGATTATGTTTAAGCGATAGATCACCATGAGGATATTTTTGAACCTGAGTCCAGTTTTTATACATACGTAAATTGTACCGAGGGGCAGCAATAAGCAGCAAGCCGCCGTATGATCTCATACAAATCTACAGCAATCGCGCTTGCTTGCCACAGCCACCTCATCCAATCCACATTGAGTGCACCACACTCACGGCTATGCTGCTGGTGAATTGTTAAACAAAGGTAAACACTTCTAGATGAACTATGATAATAACTATTTATGCTACTAATTAATGCGAAAATAAATGTAGATATTGTTGACCATATAAGGATATGCTTTCTACTTTCTGTTGCACAATTATCAAAGTTTATTATCGAAAAGGTTATAAATTTCAATCAATAATACATATACAAAAAACCCTGGATCGGGAATGGAGCGGGCCTTAAATACTGACTAAGTGGTTACTCTTTATGTATCTTAAGAACATTTTAAAAGGACGCAACATGTGGCTTCGGCAATCGAGGCCAAACAATGATATATAATATGTATACAGATGGGAACAACGTATGAATGGGTTGCATATGTGGCATGGAGTATAATTTATATAATATGTATGTAGATAAAAAACAGACGCGTGATGTACGATAAAAATCTTATAGTCGCATTTAGTCATCGTTGAATCTCTTTTAGGTGTATCGCATTATTGTTCAAGTATATTGGGGTAAAGTGTTTAAGTAGCTATAGTCCGGATCCAAAATATATAGTTAGCTAGCTGTGTTGGTGTAGATATCTAGCAAAAGGGTGACCCAGCTGCTTGGCACTTGGGTATATCCCTAGTTGATGATCTCGACATAGTTTGCCGGAAACAGTCCATATGTTCCATCAGGGCCCAGGCCCTGCCACCATCCCTCATCGATTTGATCGATATGCGTAATGACATCGCCTGGATCAAAAGTGATCTCTGACTCGTCGGCTGCTTGGTAATCGTACAGAGCTCGGGCTCGCAGTCCCAAATCGCCGAGAGTTTCCTGGCAAATAAAATCATCCTCGTTCACCAAATCCGTCACTGCAAAATACAAATTATTTTAATTAAGTCGACACTTTGAGCCGCAGCTCTGCAGTACTTACAAGCATTCCTTTCCAATGTACTAAGGCCACTTGACTTAGCTGATTGCGACTGTTGCACGGTGACCGAGACCTTAGTGCGTACTTCTTCTTCCTGATCCTGGTAAACAGCGGTGTCCGTCTCATTGGAAGAAGTGGTCTCATCTGGAGACTGCGACTGGAGTGAGTTGGTTTTGCTGTGTGGTGATCGCTTGATGGTAGAGAACTGCTCGCTTTCATGGGCCAATGGAAGGTCGTCTATCGGATGGGACTCCTCCACCTCTGCTATGGTAGAGACTACCTCAGCAGCAACAGGGACAGCAGCAGCAGCTGGAGTAGGGACCACTGGTACAGGAGTCTCTACTGGCAATGGTTTGGCAGGGGAAACAGCGCGTGGTGGTGAAGGCACAGGTGCATCTTGAGGTTGATTTTGGTTAAAGACATTAATGCGCTGGGCAATCGAATTTCGAGCTGGTTTGGCTGGAGGTTGCGTGTTTAGTCTGAGAATCAAACAGGCAGTTTAGTTTAGAACGGAGTAGGAAATAGGGGGGAGACCTACTTGGACTGGAGCTGACCCTCGCTGGTGTGCTTGGTAAACATGGCCTTGGCAGCTCCAACACGCGAGCCAATCAATTCACGGGCCTCCTGGTTCCTCGCTTGACGCATGCGCTCCGCATCGGTAAGATTGTTAGCAAATCCTGGTGCTGTTTTCTCAGGGCTCAAAGGTTGCGGGGAGCTGTGAAACAAAATAGTAATTAGTACCAATAAAGATACGTTCCCGAGGCTTTTAATTACGTTTTGATGGGAACATGCGCTGGCTGAAGCTTGGTGGTGCTTATGACCAGCTTTTCCCGCTCCTTGTGCTCTTTCTCCTCGCGACTGCGTTGCTCTTGCTCTAGCTTTTGAAGCTCCAGGCGCTTGGCTTCTTTTTCTTCTTCTTGGCGAAGTTTTTCCTCGGCCTCCTCCTTTTTCCAAAAGTCCTGCATAACGCTGGCGTTTAGCTCCTTGGTAGGAATAACCCGAGTATAGTTGGTGCCCACCGGCGCCTTCTGCTCCTCCATGGCGCCGCGTGGCTCCTTAAAGCTGTAGGCCGAGCTCACGGTGCTCAATTTCTTGAGCAGCCGGTCTAGATCAATGTCGTCCTCATTGCGTGCGTTGATGGTAAGATGGGCGCCGGATAGGAGATTACTCACGTCGCGGATATGGTTGGCACAGGTGCCCTTGCGTAGTACAGGTGCGCCTTCGCCCTAAAAATGGAGCAGAGTTAGATTATGCGTGCAGCGATAAGATTGCGCCACTTGACTCACCTGCCAGTTGATGAGTAAGTACTTGTTGAGGCCCGTTTTTGGGTCTTCAATGCGCACGAAGGCATACATAATCTTGCCGCTATTTAGGTCTTCATTCAGCTCCTCCACGCCGCCATCGCCGGTGCCCACTACCTTTAGCTCGTTGGTCTGACCCTCGTAGCCGAAAAGCGACCAATTCGTATCGCTTTTGTCATCCAGCACATCCTTCCAGGCGGCCACTATTTGTTGCCGATTTTTCTCAAAACTGATGGCCATGATTCACTGCCAACGACCTTGAACAAAGAGATCTTGGCCAGCTTTCACTGGGTCGCCTTATCGAGGTGCCCTCTTCGTCGAGTGAAAGCCAACGCCCCGCAAAGACTCCAAATTAGCCTGGGTTGTCTTGACTTAAATTTTAATTAAGTGCAGCCGCCTCACAAAAGCACACAGACAAAACAGACACCACACACATGCACACACCAGCAGAACAATAGGATAGCGGGTGATTGATTTTCCAGCCTGTGCGAATTTCCACTCTTCCAAAATTCCAGTTATTCACTTATTTAATTTCGGGTTACGTGTGTAAAACGGTGTCCAATGTAATGTTCAGGCACTTGCAACTACACAATTACCCAATCCAATTGGAATTTTAAACTTTTCGATCGCTGGCGGCGACCCACACACTTTTTCGCAACAACAAAGTAGGGATGGAACTGAAAGCGATAATAATTCGATATCATTAGTGATGCCAGAAGGTTGGGATTCTGCAATTATCGATAACATCCATATTGGTTTGAGTAACTACTAGATTGGGCGAATTGAGGGTGTCACAGATAACCAAGTGTTTAAACTTATACTATCCGGCTTGTGGTTTGAGTTAGCGCTATATTACCGATTGGAATGGTGCCCCGGATAAGCATGTGCTTCAACCATTAACTATAATGGCGGGATAACTATTATGGCGGTTAAAATCTGTTTCACCATTTGGTAACACTAACCGATAGGCTCAGTCGAATAACGCCTCCTAATATCGAAGTGCGATAGGTTCACCAAAAACACTATTGTGATTGCAATTATACCAAAAACCATCAAAACCCCGCTTTTGCCAACGCAAATCGTGATCAAAAGTTGCAAGTACGCAAGAAGAAGCCGCCGAACAGCTGAGATACCATATTACAGCGAGGATTTGGAGGCGTCCCCCCAGGCGAAAGGTAAAGTGGCCCGTTGTTGTTGGTTGCTAATATTTTGAGTACATTATGTGTGGAATATCCAATGTTCGATGGATGCTGGCTAGCAACAATATGGCTGGGCTGCTGTACTTGGTGTGGTCATTGCCGAAAAATTCAGCAGAGCGGGCCCCGTTGTGTTGGTCTTGGTGGTACCGAAAAAATAAAAAAAACCAGTCCCAAGTGCATCGTGCCCCCGCCACCCCGCCACCCCGTCATCCACATCCACATCCTCAGCTTTCCGATCAGATGGCAACTGTTTGGCAGCAGCAGGATTTTGCCTTCGTCTTACTTGTTTCAAGTCAGCCAGTCAGTCTTTGTTCGCTTTGGTTTGGTTTTGGTTTTGTTCCATTTACATATATGCCAATGCCAGGCTCGGGCGATATATCCAGTTTTTCACTTGGATATCTCTGTGTATATATGTATATGCAAGCTAACAACTATGTATATGTATGTGTGCGCCTGTTCATGGTCAATTTCTTTGCATTTTCAGTGTGAAACTCATGCGGTGCAGATCGAGTCGGTGCAGGAGCAGCGAAACCAAAACCAAATCCAAGTCCAAATCCACGTCCAATCCCACGTAGAAACGTAGAGATCATCATGGAATCGGCGCTGGATGTGCTCTCTAGAGCGGCGACCATGGTGCAAAACAATCCCAGCGGTAAGTGAACGAACCGAACGAACCACCGACCCAGACTTAACCAACTTTAAGCCATTAACCAATTCCGTTTAAAAAGAGTCGACAATTTTTATGATTTTAACTTGGCCAACAACATGCCAAGATGATGTACTCAGCCAGCCCAACGGGGCAGTGGGGGTGGGGGTTACACACACGGCTCTTTTATGGCTTTCACCTTTGAGCCAAGAAGACTCGAAAAGTATTTCAACAATGTCTCATACACAGTAAGAAAAAACTAAAAGTAATATGATGATCAATGGGGGTTTGCTTGGGATTACCAAAGATAATTCATTCAAATTTAAAATTACTAAACAAGTACTAATGGTGATGTAATTACTTCTCGTATTCATTTCCGTGTGCTTATCTTTAAGAGCTTGTAATGAATTTGGGGACAAAATCAATGTCAGTTGGGGCAAAATATTAGAAAATGTTGTTAGAAAATAAAAAAGTTTTGAGGTTTAACATCTATTTCGTCAGACAAAAGAACAAACTGATTGATAAATTGAAATAGTTACTTTTCCAAATGCTTATGAATATATTGTTTTTTAGGCTGGAATAATATATTTTTAAATACATTGATCAGCAGTGGAATTCCAACCTTGGCTTTTGTTATCACAGGCAAATTCTCTACGCACTAGTCAGGCATAAAACCGCAGAATGAATATTGACAAAGTCTTTATATATAGTTATATACACAGGAAGAAAATTGTTTTATTACTAAAATCAATCGTAAATATGGAAAAGTTCATTTAGTTAATCAGCAGCGTTGGTATTTCAACACAAATTTGATCTTTGAGTTTAAACTTACACAAAAATAAACAAATATCTCATTTAGGCTTTACTTTCATATACAAACCTTAAGCAAAATGTTAAAATTTGTAACCTTTTTACATCGATTTAATATTAAGTTTAACTTTTCTTTCGGTGCATCCAGTCGCAGACCCTTTTGCATGCTCCAGTCATGATTCACGATTGCAACAGAGTGCGCTCGCTAGCCCTCCTTTCCCGGCTGACATCTTCTTTGTAACCGCGATCCCCCACTCGAGACAGTGTCTCCCGAAATTCTACCCACTCGAAGGCATCGATGAGCTCGACAATGGTCGATGGCGGATTCCTTGCCGCGAACACTGTGTGCGAGAGAACGCATAAACACTCGACGAATCCGAGAAATGTTTTATTTTCGTACAAAAAAACGACAACAAAACATTCCAACAAAATGAGTTTGCGGCGCATTCCGATTCCGATTTTCATAAATGTGTCAAATGCCGCATTTTCGATGGCCGAGGCAAATGGGCAGGGGGCAAAACGGGCGTCGCGCATATGTGAAGTATTGTCGCGTAGGGGTGAGGGGGGACCGGACCCGGGAACCCCTTATCAATAATAGCCAGCCAGTCGTCGTTTTCGTAGTGCCACTGCGGCTGACGAGCACGAATTGTCAAGCTGTAGAGCTGTCGAGTTGCTATGGTTTGTGGATGGGCGTTCGTTCGTATTGCATATTTCTGTACTGCCGACATATCTTTCATATATATATATATATATATATATGAACATATATATATTTGCAATTTGCATTCTCTGCCCACACCACATACGGCACACACAACACCACCCAGAGCGACAAACAAGCGACTCGACCGCGTGACATGCCAAAGAAATGGCCGGCAGAGAGTGCTCAAATAGTGCTATATTATAGTATTGTATTTACTATATATGCCGCTGTCTCGCGAATATGTGTAAAATTCTTAAACAAAACAAAACAAAACACAAATACAGAATTTGATTAGGCATGTTCTGTGGGTCTCGGTAATTGCACAATTGATAAACCGTTGATAAGCCTAGAATTCCCTGTTTGGGCTTTGATTTCGTCCCATTTAGCTTGATAACATGCAAATCATGCCACCAGAGCCATGGAATTCCGATAATAGCCTCAATTTATGTTTATGTTTGTTTCAGTTTCTGTTTTTGTTTATTTACCCATTGGGGAATGTCTTTATCAGCCATAATTCTGAATATTTGACAAATTCCTCGACCGATATATATGTTTATATATATATATAAATGCGTACAGCTGTCAACACACCGAGTAGAATTTATGAGATAGCCCCCGATACAGAAAGAGAAATGGTTCCGATGCTCGAATAAATATTTAAATGCGAGCACGCGGTTCTTTGGCGATTTGTGCGCGATTTTTAGTTTTTGGTTATTCGTTTTTCGACCATGGACAATTTGGCCAACAATTGAGTTCTCAATGCAGCGGCCTCAAAAAGGCAGTGGCAGGGGCAGGCAGGCAGGCAGCAGTTAGTCTTTTTTGTGGGTTGGCGAAGATGCGAGATTTGATTGATCGGCAGCAGCCAAAATGCAAAATGTCGTTAACCTGGGCATGATTAATGGAATTTGTCATAATCGAATGAGCCACTCGGATTCTGGATCTTCATAAATCACACGTAGAAAAGCGGGTCGATCGGGCCGTTAATTAAGCGGCCCTTTCCATTGTTTGACGAGGAGCAAAACTCCTATGGCCCGGGCCATAATTAATAAACAAATAGTTACACAAATTGTGGCCTGCCTGGTACTGTCTTAGACTGCCTGACTGCCAGCCCTGGGTACAAAAGAAAAATTGTGGCAATTTCGAGCTTGGCCAGGCACACACAGCTGGAGACGCAGACACCAACCGTTGGCTATATGGTCATAGTGTGCTGGGGACGGCTCATCAGGTAATTTACATGGCCTTTCAATTCTCCGTTTTAAGCGAGTGCCAGTGCCAGTGCTAGTGCCAACTCTGTGGGCCAACACTCTCTTCCTTTTACTGGCAATGGCCAAACGGTGCGCATAATTGCCGCAAATCTCGACCAAGAGGAAAATCTAGCAGGCAAACCAGTTTGGGTTTGTTATTGCCTGCCATGGGATGGGATGGGATTGGATTGGGTCTCAGTGAGGTTTTTTTTTTCTTTCAGTTCGGGGATGGGCCACGGGATCGGGATGGTGGATGGTGGATGGTGGATGGCGGTTGTGGACACAGATTGGGACTAGAGCATTACCTTTCTTTTTGCTACTGCCTGCAGTCGGAGCGACTGCTATTTATTTATTTAAACATAACATTTGCCTATTTGCCATAAATTTTCACTCTGCGCGACTTTTGCCAGGCAATCTGGACAGGAAGAGAGGTGGCAGGCAGATGCAGCGGCAGAATCAACTTGTTGCGGACAATATCGAAATGAAAGTTGTCTCACAAACACACCACCACATCGGTCTATTCTTGGTCATCTATATCTATATATATATATATTTCGGAAACTACTACTACGATTCTCTACGAATCTATCGCGATCGAAATCTTTCGATTTGAAATTCGGCAAAAATGTATTGAGATTTTTCTCACGCTTGATTTAGCACCGGATGATATTTTATAATGACAACTATATTTATGTTATTGTTAGTTTTGCTATCGCTTGTTGTTGTAGTAGTCTGTGTATTGTTTTTGTTTTTGGTTTTTCTATATTATTTTTGTTGCTGTTCTGGGCAATCGAAAACCAGTTTCTTTTCAAATCGCGCGCACGCTCGAGTTTTATTTAAATTTTGAACTGGTTTTCCGCTGATTTGTGTTGTCTCCGCTGCGTATATATTATGTACCCACTAGATATATACATATATTAGATTGTTAGATTTCACAAACTGGGACTGCGGTTAAGATATAAACATAATTTGTCTTGTTGTTGTCGGATATCGACAAGTTCTGGAAATTGCCGGCCGCCACCGCCACCTCACCTCTTCTGTGTGTGTGTCATCATCATGATCT